ACGCAGCATCCCTCCAGTTAGTTGTTTGCCTCCCTTTGGTTTAACAGCTCTGCTTTCTGGCCCCTGAGCCTCGGACCCCAAGCAGCTGCTCAGCCTGTTTTGACTCCTGGTTTAGGGACATCAGGCACATAAGTTGCATCATGGTGATGTGTTGTGATGGCCAGTGTTGATTGGCACCTCCTTCCAAATGTCTTCAGTCACTTTCCTTGACCCTCCTGCATGCAAACGCTAAGAGATTTAATAGGATAGAATGTTGTAAAGCAAATCAGCATTGACTCCACTGGAGTCCAAAGCTGAGTCCCTTGTGAGTACTAGATAGAAGCGGTCCTGGCCACAGAGCCTAGGAATAGCAAGGAGCAGAGCCCCCCGTTACAGGTCCTCCGTTGTAGCCTGTCCCCGGGGGCGTGGGGGATGACAGTGAATACAAAGAGAGAAGCGCCTCCTCAGGACACCTCGAGTAATTTAATTCAGGAGAACCTTGGCAGGTCCTTTTAGGATCAGGGCACTTTTATGGGGAAAGGACAGGAGTGTCTTTCCAGTTCCTCTTTCTTAAGTTATGGAAAGCTGCCCTTGAGCAGTCGGCTGTTCCTTCCAGCTGCCACAAGTCTTTGGAATGCTTGGCGGAGTCCTTCACAGGAATCTGGCATGTTTGGGTTTTTGGGTCTGGCCAGTGGTTCTGTTCTGTTTGTTTTAAACACATGTAAGATGATATGGAGATGATTGTTGATTCACTTTCTGTTGTGTTAGCAGCTTCTGAGTACTTTTGTGGATGGCTGTTTGTCTTGATTAAAAAAAATAAACAAGTAGACCAGCCGCAGCCTGAGCAGGAAACAGAAGAGTTTAAAGTATGTGCGCCGTTTGGGGTTTGCTTTGGATTTTACCTGGAAAGACAGCTGTCGAGGTAGATGTTTTCTGACTACTTAAAGTGCATTCCTCCTATGAGATAGTAAAGTACATGTAATTGATCGAAGAAAAGAAGTTTGTTGTTCAGGGAAAAGGAAGATGAAAGAAGAATCTAAAAGTCAATTCTTATTTAAGCAGAGAGGCAGTTTTGTTTTGTTTTGTGCTAATGAACTGAAGTGTCTTTATTTTCTTTCAAATATACCAAAGATAGAAATCCAGATTGAAGGCTTAGTATCTGCACTTGATGATGACCCCGAGCCACAGTAAGACAGGAAAAATAAGTGCCTCTGCATGTTTCATCTCACACCAGCATTTTGTTTAATTCTTGTTTACCGATGTTCTTTTGAAAAATACTGTTGTTATGTGAGCGCTTCAGCTAAGATGATTTGGCCCTTTTCTGTGGCTTTCCTCTTGCTCTGCATATCAGCACTGTGGTTACTACACCGGTTACCGAGAAATCTTGCAGGCCTCGGTATCTAACGCTGTTGGTCCAGACCAGGCCATGCCCCACATGCCCCAAAGATGTTTAACCAGAAGCTGCAGAAAAGAACTTTGGAACGTGTATATCTAAATTGCTCATACTTCAGAGGTTTTCATTGTCTCTGCTGTTTTAGTTTGCTTGGTGAGGTGTGAAATGGTAGGAAGGAGTCACATCTTTCCTGGAATAAGGTAATTCTTTAACCTGTATCCTTAAGGATCAGAGGATTTTCACCAGGTCAGCATTGCTGCTCACATCTGTGTCTAGTAAGCAGAGGAATCAGAACTTTTGAGCATGTGGCCTGATGATCAGTGGATCATCACCTGATGAGGTGTCAGAAAACCCCCTCCTTCAGAGCTCCCACTGCGTGGAGCTCAGGGGGAATCCTTCCCTTGAGGGGCAGTTCTTGCATATTGACACCATTCTGTAATTTCAGTTCGGTTTGGCCTGGCCACTCCCCTGAACTCTCATAAAGCTGATTTTCTTAAGCTCGTCTCTCTAAAAGGGTGGTTGTATTTTTTCTGCCATAAGAGGAAGAATGTACAGTATATAATAGTTCACCAAAGATTTGGGCTGGTTGATGGCAGAGGTTAAAGAGAAAAAAAAGCCACAACAGGTAGATGGTAGTCCCAGTGCTGTGGGCTTTCCTTTCTTTTCTTTTGTTTGTTGCCGCCTCATAGTGACAAAATAAATTGAAGTCTGGGCTGTTTGCTCTTTAACTTGGGAGAAATCTAATTAGGGGTCGGCCCTGTTCCTATAAACCTCTGTGCCAAGACCTCTTTGAATGAAGGCAAGTTGTTTACTGCTATTAGGAAATCTTCAAAAAAAAAAAAAGTAAGAGGTTAAATAATTCTTTGCGTTCCCTAACAACATGGCATGGTCTGTGGCAGAGAGCTTGACAATGTATTTAATTGGTCTCCGAGTCTTGTGTTCTTGGTAATGGTCTATTTTCCAAAACAGAATAAGGTTTTAGCCTCCTGAGTTTGGCTGCTGTCTGTGGGGCTGAAGCTTCCAAATCACCCACACACACCACTAAAACCGTCGCTGTGAGCTAAGTCCGGGGCAGCTGGGAAACAAGTCAAGTGGCTTTCAAGTAGGTACTTGAGGACGTTAAGCAGAAGTCCATGCAAAGGGTTTATCCCTAAGATTTGTGACCATGTTCTAGAACGTATTAAACTTTCTCCCAAGTGGTGGGTTTGGGGACAGGTCTCCAAAAAGTGAATTTGTGTGAAAAGTTGTTTACTGGAAGCACACTTTAAACATGATTTCTACTTTGATGATTCATCCCTTGGAGTTGTCTCTTAAGTCTCTGACGTTGGCCTGAGAACTTGGATGTTGCTGAAGTCTGTTTGAAAGTACCAGCACCACTCCCTCAGAAATTGTCATCAGTTCATTAATTCACTGTAGGACCAACGGGCTCCTTGGGAGGAAGGAAACAGATGCAGCTTGACTACAAGCTCTGCTTACAGTGTGCTGGGCGGCCACTTGTGTACATCAGAGTTGGTGGCAAGTTTTCAAGCAAATCCACCACTTCCTGTGTTGCCCACAGATGCATAAAACGGTATCGATCTTCATTAAAATGAAAGAGAAAATGCTCTTTTGTAAGTGGAATATAAGATAATGAAACCTAATTGAAAGTTTTAATTTATCATAAATGTGTTTTTTTTTTTTTTAAGAATAAGGAAGTGTGTATAAGAAAATCCAAACAGCTCCCTGGCAGTCTGTTCCTGAAGGAGAAAATAGTTGAAGCAGGAAGAAAGTTTTGACTGAGATAAACCCTCCCAGGCTCTTCCTCTTGTCACTCTCCTGAAGGAGCCTTCCCGAGGAGAGGCTCTCGTGCGGTCATTGCTTAAATGACCTTGGATGTCTCTTTTGGCTCATTAACATCAGGAGAATGACCAGACTGTGAATTTCACATGGGCTGGACCTAGAGGACACTCGCTAGATCAGAGCTATCGCTATGCCTGAGAGTAAAAGGCCCAGAACAAACCCTCACCCCGCCTGCCCCCTTCCCACCCCTCTGCTGACAAAAGGAGACTCAGAGCCACTGGGGTTACCAAGCCCTGAAGGATGGGCCTTTCCTGGCGATAATTCTGATGACTTAGAGGTTGAAAATCCTCCTGCATGTGAACCTCATGGGGCAGTCTAGTGGGATCTACTTGGAAAAATTATCCCTTTCTTCAAGAGATGTTGCATAGAGTCTTACAGAATCACAGACAGAAGGAACTTGGGGGAATGTGGTCTTTCATTTTATAGGTGAGGAAACAGGCCAATAGAGATGGGCCTTGCATAGGGTCACGTGAACTAATTAGCAGAGTCAGGACCTAAATCAAACTTAGTTTCACAGCTGTTCTTCTTGTATTCCTTTGAAAAAGTTGTTGATATACTGTAATCAGGGTCATGTTGGGGCAGTTGGCTTTTGAGGAGAACAGACATCTGAATGGGTGCCATGAGCCAGGCCCTGCAGCAGAGAGCATACTGAAGACTCAGCAGGAGGCGAAGGGCCTGTGCCCTGCAGGAGCACCGGGGAAAATCACAGCACAGCGTGAGCAGTCGTGTTCGGGCAGGGAGGTCTGTGGACCAAGTAGGAGCAACTGCTGAGGAAGAAATGGGGGAAGGCCTGTGGGGTCTGGGGCTCTCTCTGGCAGCTTCCATCCTGGTGGTGTCCCCTCCCCATTGTCACTCCACTCCACTCCCCCCGACCCCACTCCACTCCCCCCACCCCAACCCCACCCATATGTATGAGCTGAGAGAACAGAAGCTGCGGTGCTTCCTGAGTCTGTGGGAAGCGCTGCCTAACGCAGGGTATCTGGCTGATTTTCTCAGGGAGCCTGTTCCCTGGAGAGGCAGTTGTCATCGTGTGTCCCCACAGACGGACTTTTGACTGGTTTCCACTTCACCTCTGGCCCTCTGGCTCGGGGCTGGGTTCTGACTTCATGGCAGCAGTGAGTGTGATGCTGACCCTTCTGAGGCCCACAGAGCTGGGTTTCCACGTCACTGGCCCTGTCTGGCCAAGAGAGTGACAAATAAGAGTTCAGATAAAATTGTCCTTGGCAAAAATTGTGGTCTCTGCTTCATCATGCAGGAAGTCGCCCGCTTTTTCTTGAGTCAGGCCTCCCAGAGATGCTAGGGGTCATTCTCATGACCTTTCTTCTGTGGCTCTGGACTCGGGGCAGGTTGTAGAAAGCTCAGGGTAGGTAAGACCCCAGGCACAAGGACAGAAACAGATTTTCAGATTCGTGCTCTACCTTTGACCCAGTCATACACGGTTCACAGCCCCTGTCAAGGGGCTTTATTTATTAATTTCCTTGTGACTTAAGTTTTGATGGCAGACACTTTCAGTTTTAGTTTTGGTCACCGTTCAGCTTCTTGCCTTGTAGAAGTTCCAGACTTCTAGTCTTTGTTAATCAGAAATCACATCTGCTCTTGTTCCTTCTCCTCCGAGTGACATCACACGCTTGCTTCGGAGAAGAAGGCTGCAATCTGTGCTTCCATTCAGTCACATTCTGAAGTGGGAGTGCGCTCCCTTGGAAGTCCGCGGGCTGCTGGGGCAGGGTGGCGGGCGCTGGGGTCTGTCTGTTTCAGCAATGTCACCTCGGGTTTGTTGCTTTCCTTGCAGACTGCAGTGCTTTTGTCCACAAAGGCTGTAGAGAAAGTCTGGCCTCCTGTGCAAAGGTCAAGATGAAGGTAAGACGTTTTTGGCTAAAGTAATAAAATCTTTGGAGCTGGGAGAGTTGGGACTGTGGGTTTTATTTATTTTTTGTTTGTTTTTTAAAGATTTTATGTATTTATTTTTAGAGAGAAGGGAAATGAGGGAGAAAGAGAGGGAGAAACATCAAAATGTGGTTGCCTCTCATGTGTCCCCTACTAGGGACCTGGCTTGCAACCCAGGCATGTGCCCTGAGAGGGAATCAAACTGGCAACCCTTTGCTTCAGAGGCCTATGCTCAATCCACTGAGCTACACCAGCCAGGGCGGGTTTTGTTTTGTTTTTGTTTTTTTTTACTCATTTGGTACCAACTTTGAGACCAGACTAACAACAAAAAAAATTTCTTCCTAAGTAATTGATTCTCTTTCTAATTAACCCACTTGGGACTTTGTGCCTTTTGGGAAATGGATTCAGAACTTCTCCACGTTAAATGCACCTTTCTCTGGGGTTCTCTTTGTGCCCCTGGTAACTGCATCTGCAGACCTCTCTTCCAGCAGTTTGCATGCCTGCTGCCTCATTGGAGCCTCCAAGGCCAGCAGCAGGGGCCGGGGGCTGAGGAGGCTGGAGGGCTGTAGAGGCCAGGGGTTGCTGCGGAGGGTTAGCTCAGACGCCTGTCTGGCAGTCCCTCTCCCTCGGGTCTGTGCCAATGGCTCTGATCAGATGACACAAGGGTGGGGTGTGGCAGCACCTGGTGTGCACCACTCCTCAGTCAGCCCTTAAGGTCAGAGTACAGGTTCGGGGGCGTACCTTTCAGGGAGCCTGTGTTTTGCTGCCCCAGAGTGTCTGTTTGTCGCTGTGCTTCCAGCCGCACCTACACAAATGCTCACTCAGGTGCTGTAGGCTCATCGGTAACCAGATACATTTACATACTTGAACCACCATCAGCACCATCTCATGGGCTCACTGGGCCCCAGAGATTCAGATTCTGGGTTGGAGCCCAGGGTCTGCATTTCTGGGGAGTCCTAGGCAGTGCTGGTGCCACTAGTCCGAGGACCACACTGCAGATGCAGTGAACCAGGGGAAGAGCAGACTTCTGTACCCCGGATCTTACATAGCCCGTGGATATACATCTGGGTGGCTCATGAAGTATTTTTTTATTTCAGTTAATGCAGTTATTTAAAATCTTACTTCCCCTTACCCAGCATTCCCAATTCTCAGCTTTGCTTTTTTTTTTTTCTAAAGCCCTAATCACCTTCTCAGAGTCTGTGTTTAATAGTCTGTATTTATTGATTACATTTACTTTTTTATGGGCTGTCCCTTCCCCCATGAGAACGTAAGTGCAAACTTGCCAAGCAGTCGGTCAGGAGTGTTTGTTGGACCCACTGATGGATCCTCAGCACTCAGCGGGGGGCCTGGCTGGTGGGTCCTTCAGTGTGGGAGAGACGGTGGCGGCTGCCTCCTGCAGGCAGGAAGTACATTTCCAGATGGCCTCTCTCCCCACCCCCACACCTTGCCTGTCACTTGCTACCTGCCTGGCCTTTAATGAATCAGTGAGATCTTACCTATCGAACCAGGTTTGAGTGTGTGATCCCTGAGGAGACTCATCACTGTAGTGGATGTATTGTGTACTGGGTTCTGTAGGAAAACAGTGACATACAGTGTCCCCTGTATAACAGAGTGGAACCTAAAAGGGAAGTCCCATTTTTAATTGGAAGTGACTTGTTTTCCACTAATGAGTTATGCCAGACTAGCTGCTGCAGTCTGTGGTTTCACACACAAAGTGAGCCTGCTGCATGCTACAACAAAAGCCCTCACTATAAATAGCACTTCACATAGGAATTATTTAGCACCTGATACATGGTAGTCACTGGAGAAATCGAGTGCAGAAGGCACAGCAGGTGTTTGGGGACCAGCATGCTGGTGGGGTAGGTGGGCAGGCAGACGATGACCAGAGATGAGGCAGACACTACGTGGAGGGGTGTGCAGCATCCTAGTGAGATGCTGGGCACTGTGTTGGGCAAGAAGCAGAACATAGGACAGCTTGGCCAGAGAGGCAGTGCTCAGGTAAGTGGTTGTGCGAGAGAAGACTGTCAGGCCTGTGAGGGCGAGATGATTCCAGGCAGAAAACACAGCGTGTGTGGCATCGGCATGCGTGGCAGGTTCAGAGGACAGGCCGTGGGGGCAACTGGCTGGGACAGAGGGTGCTGAGGACCACTGGCAAGGGACCGAGCAGGAAGGTAGGAGCACTGGGCTGTCTTCCTACTCAGGCTCCTTGAAACTGGATGGAAGAGAAATCGTACATGCAGTCTTCATGTGTGTGCTTTCTTTTCTCACAGCAGCCCAAAGGGAGCCTGCAGGCGCAGGACACGTCTTCACTGCCCACAGTCATTATGAGGAACAAGCGTAAGTGGCTCAGCCCCGCCCATAGTTCTCTTTCACTCTCCGGTTCCAGACCTCTATCGTTATTCATTTGTTCTTCATCAAGATTTGAGTACCCATTTTGTGGTAAGCTGTGGGAGGCTGCAGATTTTGTGACCTAAATCTTAACATTCTGCCATGAAACTCTCTTGAAAGGTTTCTAGTTAGTGTATTAGCACTGTGGTGGTCCTGTGTGTTTAAGCAGCTGGCCCCTATGCATCTTGAAATCCCCCTTGAGTGAGTTGAGAGTTACACTTGTTTGCAGTGCCTCACACTTGAGTGAATCAAATGAGATCTTGCCTATTGAACCTCATTCTGCTTCTCCAGCCCTTCACTGATGATCCCTTTCACACATCCTACTTGCTCCCTCTTGTACTTACCCATCCACCTTAATACTCTAATACTGTGTGATCACGTCTGCCTTCATTCACACAGCTCTCCTCAGCACAGTGTCCTCTCTTCTTCTGACCTGTCCACATCCTCACCTTCTTCAAGATCCATTGTTGCTTCCCCCCATCAGATCTGACCCACACACTCCGTCCTGACACTGAGGCTGCACCCCCGGCTTCTGTGCCCTTGAGTGCATCCCTGTTTCTCTGAGCCACCTGGAGCCTCCGTTGGGTCCAGCCCCCATCTCATCCTCCTGGTGTGCTTCCGGCAGGAAGGGTCTGGTGGTGTCGTAGTGTGGCGTGTTTCTGGTGTTCTATTGTGTCACCTTCTAAATAGGATTGGAATTGGAAATTAATGGTTTCTTGGAGTTTTATATTAAGGCAGAAACGTCCTGATAATACTGTGAAGTCATAACAGCTACCCCAGTCTTATTTCCTTCTGCTCCTGAGGATGGACCAATAATGCAGTTCATGTCTGGGGCAGGAACATGCTTACCAAGGAAGAATAATTTCCTATGCAAATGCCAGTGTGACCACCTTAGCATAAAATTAGGGCTCCAGGTTCCTGTTTGGTCATGTTCAGGAGAAATACGCAGTTTGAGGACAAATGAGCTGTGTGGCATTAAACAAGCCTTGCATCTTCCTCATCGGTAAATTAAAGGAATTGGTCAAAATCTGTGTTCTCAGACAGCATGCAGAGGAATCACGGGGAGCTTCTACAGTGCATAGGCCTCCCCGGGCCCGCCCCCAACCGGTGGGAGGGGTGGCCCTTTGCACATCCAACCAGCAGCTCAGTCGTGCCCTGGCAGGCGCTCCGCCGTCTCTGCCGGTCCCTTCGTCCTGCCAGTCTTTCCGTCTCGTTTTCTTTTTGATTTAGTGTAAATGTTGGCATGCATAACGTTTTCACACAATTCTTAATTCTCGTTGACTGATTTCCATCCCACCCTACAGGCAGTCACTCTTTTTGGCTTTATACTTAATCTTTCCCAGTTTTCTTTTTGAAAAATTTTATTATTAATATCAGACTATTAATTTTTCTTTAAAAATTACGATTGTCCTGCATTTAATTCTACCTTGATTTATTTTCCCCCTTACTATATTATCTTTAAGATCTGTGTCAATTCATGGAGGGGGATCATATTTTTTAAAACTACATACTATTCCATTGCCTAGTGTACCATAATTTATTAATTGATCTTCTGATACTGTGTCATTGCCAGTATTTTGCTTTTATCAGCAATGTTGCATTGAATAACTTTGGACATGTGTCAGTTCAAGCACAGACAAGGACATTTTTGGAACAAACATGTTCTGAAATGGAATTACTGCGTCCAAGTTTGACGCATTTACAGTTTTAATGGACGTTGCCGCATTGTCCTCCACAGGGTTTGTGGACCCTTTTACACTCCCAGGGCCAAGCGGTTCTTCTGTAGCTGGCTTCCCTCTGGCATTGTCAGGTGAATCGGGGCTGGTGGGCGTGGCTCAGCGGTGCTTCATTGGTGCCTTCTCTCCCTTTGCAGCCGCGCAGCCCAAGGAGCGCCCTCGATCTGCGGTCCTCCTGGCCGAGGAAACCACTGCGGCCCCCATGTTTCCTCACAGGCGGTCCCAGCAGAGCGTGTCACTGTCCAAAAGCGTGTCCATACAGAACATTGCTGGGTAAGTGGGCACTGAGAGAGAGCACAGCTGACATCCAGGCGACAGGAGCATAATAATCATAGCATTTGGCAAAAAGTTGCTGCTGTGTTTTTTTTTTAAGCGTTAGATAATGGGATGGTGCACAACTGAGAGATTCCGATGAGTGTGAGGATTACATTTTCATGCACAGTCATGGCCACTGCTTTGTGACAAGGGTCCCCTTTCAGTGCCATTGTTGTGCTAGGTTGTCCTGCAGTTTTGTACTCTATGGCCTGCTTCTGAAGACCCTGGTTCGAAAAGGATGATTTCTAAATCAGAACAAAAAGTAGGAGGGGCAGAGGTGATTGCATTCTGAATTGTTAGTTGCAACCACTTATGTATTTCAGGTGTCATACTTTTCTGTTGATCGGATGAACCCTGTCTGTTTGTTTCTATTATAATTTGCTTTCCAACCTTGCCTCTTGCCTCTTAAGTTGTTTTCATGGGAGTGAATAGTGGGCCAGTTGTTATGGTGAGGTTCCCACCCACTCAGTGGCACTGGGTTCATTTGTGATCCCTGCAGAAGTGGCTGTGACCCCCTGAATGTGGAGGCCTCAGCTGTCACATGGTAGCCCAGGGCTGACCCTGGTGTCAGTGGCTGTTTGGGGTAACATGCTTGACTTGCAGGCCTCAAAACATCTCTGACGTCTCTCTCACCCTTGGCTGGAGGAGACTTCTTACCTAAATGGTAACTCTCTTTTTGTCTGTATTTTCTGAAGCCTCTGTGCTGGCTGATATTTCCACCTCCTCCTCAAGAAAAACACAGTTTCTAGTATTTTTATTTTTTCTCTTTGTATTATGATCAACCAAAGGCCTTCTTTTCAATGTTGTTACCAACATTTGCATTGTGACAGTAAAGTTGGTCTTTACATACAATTTAAAGTTGCAAATGACTGTGGCTTGCTTTTATGTCACATCACAAACACTGGGTGCCTACTTGTTAGCTGATGCGTTGGGGTCAAGAGATTAAAAGAATGACCAATGTCACCCCAGTAAAATTTTAATGAAAAAAAGAATACTCAGTCTATAGTTATTTAGAGAACAGGCGGAGACGTGTAGTGGTTAGACAATGAGTTTCAGAAAGAGAAATTTCCTCTGTAATGTGTATATAGTCTGTGGGGAGGGGGCTCTCCTTCCTACCTGTCATTTAAAAAAATCCAAGGTTCAAAAAGTTTAAGTTTGCAGTGATGCTGAATGCCTTCCATTGTCAGTTCTCATTGCTGAGTTCTTGACCTAAGTAATCTGTCTGCACTCACGACGGCACCTCCAGCCAGCTGTCAAACCACAGCTCCTCAGAATGTAGTTGATGTGCTTCTCTTTGTCCCCAGAGTTGGCAACGATGAGAACATATCGAACACCTGGAAATTCCTGTCTCATTCCACAGACTCGCTAAATAAAATTGTCAAGGTCAATGAGTCCACAGAATCACTTACTGATGAGGGTAAGAAGGGGTTACGGTCCCTGTTTTCTGTAGAGATTGTGTTATTTCATTACGTAGAATGCAAGTGTTGATGGAATAATAGTGTCTGCCTCTTCCTTACTGCGAAGATTCTCTAAATTGTCTGTAAAGCATTATGTGCTTTATAGTAAATTGGTGATCAAACCTGCCCAGTTGTTAGATAGTTGTCCACGGAAGGATGTCGTTGCTTTTAACGTGGTTGTGTGCCGGTGTAAACTCTTTTTCCCCCAGACTTTGAGTTCTGGCTCTCCTGGCACAGTCGAAAGCTTGCTCCCTTAAACAAGTAAAATTCCCAGGTCCCTCCCAACTGCTCCTTCACATAGGAATCACGTCTTCATCACATTTCATTTGCGTGATGGTTCTCACTCTCAGCCAAAGCCTGGAGTGTAGAGCGTGTCACTCCCAAACAGGAAACGATTCTTTGCTCACACTGGAATATGGTTCTGCGAATATCCCCTGGATCAACGAGAGCGTTTGTGTCTTAGGAAATTATCACACCAAGGAAAGTCCATCATAGGCTTTTTAGAGGTCATAGACTATGATCCTGATCCTGATTTTTCTGATATTTTGAGGAGTAGGTACAGATATGAATGAAGGACAGCTGATGGGAGACTTTGAAGTTGAATCCAAACAGCTGGAAGCCGAGTCCTGGAGCCGGGTGGTAGACAGCAAGTTTCTGAAACAGCAGAAGAAAGACGTGGTGAAGCGGCAAGAAGTGATCTATGGTGAGAGGCTTCGTTTGCTCTGCTGACATTGGTTGCGCTGTCTGGAATCTTGTATCCGGTGATGTACTGGGTTTTGGCAAGTCAGTTTCCAAGTATACAGCATCTCAGAGATTTTCTTTGACGTATAAGACATGATCTTATTTCTATCCTTTTTTTCTATTTAAAATTATTTTCCTTAATTTTATCGAACAGTTTATTTACTATGTGTGCTTATTTATGCAGCAGGCCTACAAAGAAATCTCTTGTGACCATTTCATTCCTCCCCCACACTAAGGACTACACACTAAACAGTTATTTCTAGGAAATAGGAACACAGAAATTGTGAAAGGTTTCGATTCCAGTGAAGACCAGTGTGGAAATCATTAAAGAGTGATGTAATCCAATATCACTGTGGTTGGCCACTGAAAAATGGAGGGAAAAGAGGATGAGACCACTTCAGGGAAAAGATAGCTATTGACCCAGTTTTAAAGTTTAAGTTAAGCTTTCAGAAGCCATAAGACTGAATGAGGCTCTCATAGCAGCAGGCGATCTTGGGAGGAGAATCCGTGTAGCTGGGCCTTCCTTACCGCTGAGCTTTGTCCCTCCGGCAGAGCTGATGCAGACGGAGCTGCACCACGTCCGCACGCTCAAGATCATGAGCGACGTGTACAGCCGGGGGATGATGACGGACCTGCTCTTCGAGCAGCAGATGGTGGAAAAGCTGTTCCCGTGTTTGGACGAGCTGATCAGCATCCACAGCCAGTTCTTTCAGAGGATCCTGGAGCGGAAGAAGGAATCCCTGGTGGATAAAAGCGAAAGGAACTTTCTCATCAAGAGGATGGGAGATGTGCTCGTGAATCAGGTGAGCCGTGCGGAGGAGGGACGCTTTGGGATGCAGCCGCCGAGCTCTCACATCTCGGCTGTAACATTTCCTCCCTCTGTGCACCTAGGCAGGGTGTTTCTCTCTCCCAGCCTGGACTTCCTTCTCTGCAAATGAGGGCAGTAGCGTTTCTCTCCTGATGCTCTTTCATATACATAGACATGCATGTATTTTTTACATACGTACATATATAATGTGTGTGTATATATATGTGTGTGTGTATATATATATATATATATGTAAAATGTGCAAAGTACCTAGCATACACAGTAGATGCTCAATAAAAGTTTTTCTTCCTCAGAGTTTATACTGTGAGAAAACAGTGTAGCTTAACAAATCAAAAAAATGTTTATTGGAAGGGTCTACTTCCCCTCTGCCCCAAATCAAAAGGACCTCATTTACCTGAAAGCCACCTGTGCATAGAAAACTGAATGAGGAACTATCTGTAAAATATTTCATAAAATGTATCTTACTGATATTTTCATCAAGGTGTGGTATGGTTTGTCTTACTCCAAAAACAATTTGCCTAAAAATTATTTTGATATTTTTATATGTTTATCATAGAGAGTTTTTAATGTTTCTTTTAAAAAGTTTTGGGTTTTTTTTTTAATGTTCTTAGTATAACCTTTATCTTTATGGGCTGAGGGGCATACTGCCTCACCTGACTAGCTCTTCTTCCCCAGAGCATCTCTGCCTCAGTGTAGAAGCAGGAGCTTAGTTGCTGGAGCAGTTGCCTGGGAAGTAGAAATTCTGTCCTTCCCTTGTGTTCAGGAGTCCGACCCTTCACCTCATTCAGTCATTCAGTCATTTTTCTCCAGTATTTACTGGGCATCTACTAAGTACTACTTGAAACCACAAAGCTAAATATGCCTTAGAACTCTGCCTCAAGTGCTCTAGAAGTAAAAATAGGCATGTTATACAATAAATCCAAATATTTAGCACAGGTATCTGCAATAGGTAGGCCCTCAAAGTGGGAGTCGTCAGCTCTGCGAGCGAGGACCTCTTCTCCCCAGATATCCCTCTGCCCTCAGACCTGCACAGGTGCCTCGTCTCGCCTGGACTCCTGGTGTCCATAGTGCCTTGGACCCGTGCACATCCTCTAGGAAGCTCTTTGATGGCAGGACTCCCACCTCTGCCCCATGGGGTGCTGGGGCTGGAATCACCTGCCGGGCATGTACTTGATGGTGGGAGCAGCTCCCTGCAAGGTTTCGGTACAGATCAACCCTCGTTGCCCACAGAGAGTTTTAGTGCAGTGGGAATCGATGCTTAGTGTGTAGCCCCTCCTCGGTTTGCCCCAAAGGGAGCCAATGCTTAGAGGAAGCGTTGAGATTGCACACATATGGGAGTGATTTAAGGGCAGCTGTCCTGAGCACAGCACAAGAGACAGATCCCTGGGTAATGATGGCTGTTCCAGTGTCTTAACTTACCAAGGCGAGATTTGTAAGACTGACTGTCTCATGAAAACCTTCTAGTGAGGTTTCCTTGTTCTATTACTACGATTACGACACAGAATGCATTTTGTATTTCTTATATACACGGTATGTAGATGTTTGTGTTCATTGTTATAAAAAGATACATAATAGCCTTATGGAAACATAATTCAAATGCCATATAACCCACCCTTGGAAGGTGTACAATTCAGCGGTTTTTAGTATATTCACAGAATTGTGTAACCATTACCACAGACAGTCTTGGAACATGTTTATGCCCCCACCACCACCAAGTGTCATGGCCCTAGGCAACCACCAGTCTGCTTGCTGTCTCTGTGAATGTGCCTATTCTGGACATTTTATAAAGTAAAACAATATGTGGTGGTTTGTGACTGGCTTTTTTATTTAGAATAATGCTTTCAAGGTTCATCAGTATCATAGCATGTGTGAAATCAGTATTTCTTCTCCTTTTGTGGCTAATATTCCATCATATAAATTTGTGTGTGTGTATGTATACACACCCCACATTTTATTCATCCATGTATCCTTTGATGCACATTTGGATTATTTCCACCTTGAGGCTCTTATGAATAATGAATAATGAGCATCTGTAGATAAGTTTTCATGTGGACATACGATTTTGTGTCTAGGAATGAAATTGCTTGGTTAGTTAGCTTCTGGAGGAACTGCACACTGTTTTCCAAAGCCACCACATCGTTTAATCTTCTGGAGCAATTCTTGAGGAAGTCCTCTTGGCTTTCACAAATTAGACTGGCAGCTCTGTGTGAAACGGTAATGCAGGTTTAGCCCCTGAGTTATGGCCTAACTTCTCTCTTCTCTATGCAGTTTTCAGGGGAGAACGCAGAACGCTTAAAGAAGACATATGGCAAGTTCTGTGGGCAGCACAACCAGTCCGTGAACTACTTCAAAGACCTGTATACCAAGGACAAACGTTTCCAGGCGTTTGTAAAGGTATCCGTGGGAAACACGAGCATCCCCGTCACTGTCCGGGGCGTCACGTACCCTCAGGTTTAGTGGAGCCTTCGTCCTCGGGTAGCTCCTGACTGTTCGTTTGCACCCTTGCAGAAGAAGATGAGCAGCTCGGTCGTGAGGAGGCTTGGGATCCCGGAGTGCATACTGCTGGTGACCCAGCGCATCACCAAGTACCCCGTTTTGTTCCAGAGAATACTGCAGTGCACCAAAGGTGAGCCTCCTCCCCCTCCGGCGTGCCCGTGCCCCTCGCCCCTGTGCGCCCCTACGGAGGGGCTCTTTCCTGCTCCAGTGGGTCTGAAAGAGACCCTGGGTTTTACCGAAAAACGGTTGGTTTGAATGAAAACCTGAAATATGTAGGTGGACTCAGGGCAGATGATAGCAAGCAGGGAAGGAACCACCTACTGATCCCATCCAGAGTTCAGGGACCTGAGTAACTTCTCCCTTGACACTAGACTGAGAGAGAATTCCCACCAGTTTTCCCCATAAATGCTAGAACTGCTGCTGTTTCTAATTTCCTCTGTACTCGCTGGTTTCTTTTTTGGCTAATCCTGCTCCTAGACAGTTATAGTTAAAGATTAGTAAAAAAAAAAAGACAAGTAAATGGTTGCTTCTCTTTGTCCTTAGGATATGTTTGGTTCCTACTGCTTGAGAACATAGCATGTAATCGCATGCTATCTGTATCACTGAAACTGTCTGACTTTATTTTAGAATTTAACTCAGGTCTGAGCGAGGGAAGGCGGTATGCCCTCTGACACTCAGGCCGCCTCCAAGAGCACGTCCAGTGCCCACGGAGGGAGGGTGAGGGCATGAGGGAAGAGGGTAGGAGCCCCTTCCTCCTGCTCACATCTGAAAACCAGAAATGTGCCTTCCTTCTAAGACAATGAGGTGGAGCAGGAAGACCTGGCTCACTCCTTGAGCCTGGTGAAAAGCGTGATTGGGGCTGTGGACAGCAAAGTGGCCAGTTATGAAAAGAAGGTGCGTCTCAACGAGATCTACACGAAGACGGACAGCAAGTCGATTATGAGGATGAAGAGTGGTCAGATGTTTGCCAAGGAGGACCTGAAGCGGAAGAAGCTGGTGCGGGACGGGAGTGTGTTTCTGAAGAACGCAGCGGGGAGGTTGAAAGGTAAGGCTCACGTCTGCTGAGTCCAAGCAGGCGCCAGACGATGGCGGGCAAAAGCCAAAGATTCCTGTTAGAAGCTCACCAGCCAGTTGTTCCGAGGGAGCTCACACCCAGACCTCAGGCAGCAGCCATCTCCTAATTGTTCTTAATCTGGTATCAGAAAGGACTGGATTAAGGTAGTTTATCAAGTTATAAAATATGGCAAGTTTACAAGGAAATGCTGTCAGTCCAATAGAAAAGGAGATTTTAAGAAACAAAGCAAGGGGAAAGATTGACACAGACCCGGGTTGTAAGGGGGTGTGTTTGCCTACAAGGGAAGGGTGGCAGGTTTGGAGTGGGGGCTTCTGGCAGAGCATCGGTGCTGTTAGCCAGTTCACAGAGTCCGTGAGAGTGGAACTCTGCACATCCCTTGCTCTGAAGAGGCGTCAGAGGGGCTTTCAGCTCCTGCGATCTCGGAGAAATGTAGTTAACAACTCACCAGCTACATCTGTTAAACCGCATGGTATTTGTGCCTTTTATCTTAAAAGAAAAGAGATCATGAAACACATTTGCATTTAATTTGGTTTTAACGTTTAGTTTTCAAACATCAGCTACATCAAGTTAAGGAAGTTAGGAGGTTTGTGAGTTCATCTGTACATTTGACTTTTTAAAAGGTAATTCTTTTCACCGAACCCGTACTCTCTGGGCCTGTGCGGCAGCTCCGACTTCCCCGGCGGCCCGAGGCTTACCCCCTTCCTCAGTCGCTGCGCACAGGAAGCGGGCGGGCCCTGGGCTGCCAGCACCGCGGGCCGGGACCAAGGGGGTGGAATGTATGCCTTTGTCCTCTCTGGGGTGGGAGCAACGCGCTAGGCGCTGCGGTCAAAGAGGACCCAGGGTCCTTAGCTAGAGTCTCCCCATGCTGTGACCACACAGTGAAGTCCAGACATCAGATGGGTTCAAAGGTGAATGAGGCAGGACCCTCCCCGCTCCGCCATCCCATGGAAGATGGGAGCAGAATGAAGAGGCTGCTGCCCAGCAGGGCTCTCTATGATGTTCGCAGGGCCTGGTTTGGGGCGCTGTCCCGCTGACCCCTGACTGTCTGCAGCAGACCTCGGGAGGGGCCCGAGGGGGGAGCGGCACAGCCATACTGGCCCTGCCCTCTAAGGAGCTGAGTTTTCTAGAGCCACTGGTGCCCGGAGCTAGCTCTTTGTTCTCTTTCCTTTATAAAGCACTTTATTTCCCCATTCCCAAAATAAAAACTAATAGATTCCAGCTGTTGGAATCATGCGGTCAAGCCCACGGTGGAACGCTCGGTTTTTAGACCTGAAAGGCTGCCAGTGGGGAGGGGAGCCGGTGCCGAGTCATTCTCACCCCCCAGCGAATGCACGCCAGGGACAGCCAGTACTGTGTGGGGTGCCCTTTGAACGGGTGGGGTTTCTCTGATCCCCCGGCACCCATCCTAGCAACTTCAAGGTCCAGTGAAGGTGAAGCTTGTGTTTTAGAACTTTTTTTTTTGGCAGGCACCCGAGTTACTTAAAAGTAAGCTTAAAAAAAAAAAAAAAGAATGGAACTAATGGTAGTGTATGGAAAATGACTCATCTAGGCTGAAAAACTCGACCTGCCTAGAAATCAGACCTGTTTGCTTCTGTTTTCTTCAGGGCTTTGCAGTGAGTTCTGCAGACTGGGGCCTCCAGTGGTGGCAGAAAGGGCAGAAAAGGGAGGAGGAGGGGCCTGGCCCCCCTGGGGCAGGGGTCACCTGTGTCGGTTCTGTTCTCTCCCCCAGGGAATCATAGGCTCCCCTTTCCAGAGGGGCCAGGCTCCAGAGGTGTCAGACTTTGTCCCTAAGGGAATGAAGAAAGAGGTCACTTTGTGCTCCTGGAGAATTAGAGCAAGAGTCTGTGGCATTCTTTCAATTCCTAGATCCAGCTACAGGTGTTCATTTGGGTGTCCTTTTATTTCACGTGAGAAGCAGAGAGGGCTCTTTCTGTGGCACAGAGGGGATGAGGCTGACTGGACGCCACGCCCCTTCCTGTTCTCTGGGGCATGTGAAGTCTCCCTCTCGTTGGCTCAGACATCCTTCGACATCACCTTTTGGCAGCTGCCCTGTCTGCCGTCCCACGCCTTTCCCATCGCTGCAGTTGGATGAGAAGTGCTGTGACCGGAGCGTTCGGTGGGCTGTGTTGCTGTGTAATGTCTGTTCAAGTCCTGCTCTTCAGTTGGGTTCTTAGAGTAGCTTATGCTTGAGGTCTTGCCTTGTGGGATATCTCTCTCCAGAACTAAATACTTATTCTTTTCCCCAACAAGGCATTGGTGGTAGAGATCCCAGGGTAACATGCCTCTAAAACTCTAAGGACCAGACGTGGGTGGTGGCTGGATGCAAAACTGCTGCCCCGGAGGGGGGTCGTCTCTGACCTGTTCTGCTCTGAATTACTAGTCAAAGTGCCCCGATGGTACCAAACTGCTAACTAGTCACTGTTCTCTCTTCCCTGCCCTGACACGACAGAGGTTCAAGCAGTTCTGCTGACTGACATCCTAGTTTTCCTTCAAGAAAAAGACCAGAAATACGTCTTTGCATCATTGGTAAGTGGAACTGTGAATAGTCTCCTCTGATTGTAATTAAGAATAGTATTCGGGACAGCTAGAGGTAACTCTTGAGCATAAATGAAACACTGTATTTTTGGTCTCCCACCCACTCAGAATTACCTGGTTGAGGATAAATTCCTGTGAATAATTTCTTGTACACTTTTAAAATTTTCTGTCTGCCCCCCACAACATTTTTTTCTGTTTCCTTACAATCCTTTTGAGAGTCTTGGGTATGTGGCCACTGGGGCATTATGCTCCATAAATCATGCTAATTGATAATGTTGCTGCCCAGATTCTGTGATAACATGCAAGGGTTCATCGTGCAGAAAACACGACTAGAACCTTTATGGCCATAAACTGCCATTTCCTTTACGGAATTCTTTCTCTGTTTGATAAAACGTAAGTGAAATCGTGAGCCAGCTCTCATTATCCTACTCCTGCCTCTGTTTGTTAGAACACCTGCCTTTAAAAGGCGTCTGGTGTCCCCTGAGGTTGAGGTTGTCCTCACGCATTAGGAGGCTGTGTATGTGTCTCACTTCTGCCCTCTCCCCTTTTCCAGGACCAGAAGTCCACAGTGATTTCTTTAAAGAAGCTGATCGTGAGAGAAGTCGCACGTGAGGAGAAAGGCTTGTTCCTGATCAGCATGGGCATGAAAGACCCAGAGATGGTGGAGGTCCACGCCAGCTCCAAAGAGGAGCGGAACAGCTGGATTCAGATCATCCAGGACACGATGAACACCCTGTAAGCTCCCCGCGGCCCCGCCTCCTCCTGCCTCCGTGACTTTGGAATCCACTCGGCAGCCTCCAAAGTCAAGGATGTCTTAGGAATGTTTCATTTTGGTTGTTTTAGGAACAGAGATGAAGATGAAGGAATCCCTAGTGAGAATGAGGAGGAAAAGAAAATGTTGGACACCAAAGCCCGGGAATTGAAAGGTAAAGCCATTGGAAGGGGTCTGAGACCCTCGTCCGGGGACTGTCTGCTGTCGCAGGAGACTGCGGATCCTCCAGGGCCTGGGTCCCAGAGCTGCCTCGGCAGGCCCCTGGGAAATGGAGGGCTTTTAACAGAGAACCCAGTCTGAGCTGACACGGTCCTGGTACCAGACAGCTGTAAGAATGTGTTGAACCCTAGATCGAGGGAATATTGATCCTCTTGTCTCAGTATCAGAGTTCTTGGACCCCTTGTTGCAGAAGAATTTGCATAAATCATGGTCACATCGAAGACAAAAACAGGAAGGGAGGGTACTTGAGGAAAAGAATCTTCCAGTTCATCTGCTTTTGTGTTAGTTACCCGAGTTATCAGTGCTGGACGCTCACAAGTAGGTCAGGAGGTGGCCTGGGGAGAGTGCGCCCAGCGATGATGCTTGACCACTGCTTATTAAGCCTCTACGGTTTTGTGTGGTCTTGTCAACATCCTGCAAGACCTGGATTCTCGTGCCCGTTGTGCAGCTGAGGAAGCTGAGGCCCAGAAAGGCCGAGCAGGCCAGGGCCCATCCACCGCTGGTGGCAGAGCCAGTAGTTCGCTCCCTGTTTCTGAACAGCAGGGCCTGGTGCTCATCTATTTGCCAGGGCTTATTTAGTGTCCTGAAGTAAGCACTGTGCTTTGGATAGCATCAAATCTGTTTAAGCACCTAAAGAGTTGACTGATATTGATAGCTGGACAAAGTGATAATGTTGTGTTTTGGGGTGGGGTGGGATGGGAGCAGGGAGAGATGGACAGACTGAAACCTAAGCCAGAGCTACATCAGATGTGTTAGCTTATGATGAGGATGACAGAGATAAACTGCTTTTGACATGAAAGAAGCACCTGGCCAGGCACACTGCTAGGTGGTAGGGATGCAGAGATTCCTGAAACACAGAAATTTTCCCTGTGTTGGGAAGCCCACGCTCTCACCAGGGAGGTGCACGTGAGTGACAGACCACCAAGTGCATGGCCAGGCCAGAGGGCTGTGGAAAAGGCCTTCCCATGTCCGCCAGGGAATGACGGAGTCGGACTGTCGGTGGGGGTCATGGCTAAGGGGTGGGAGATGTGGGCAGCAGGTCTTGAAAGGCAACAAGGGATGATACACTGTTTTTAGCAAAATCTAAACTTACATTTTTAACTTGGGAAAGGCTCAGTGAGAGATGGGCTGGAGGGGGTGGACCTGAGTAAGAGGTAAGGACCCATGTGGCCGGGAGAGTGAGCAGGTGACCTCCCTCTCAGGACTCCAGGGACTCCAGCTCGAGTACACTAGAGGTCACAGGCTTGTTGCCTGAGGAGGAGGTCACAGGCTGCAGGGAGGCAGTGGGAGGGCAAGAGAGAGACAAGGTTTCTGACGTGCTGAGAACAAGGCTTCTACGTGGCAGTCGCTGCTTGACAGTGGGGCACGTTGATCTGATGCTCAAGAGGGAGGGTAGAATTGGGGATGCGTTCTGTGGGCCGTCAGCACCCGTGAAGTAGTTGAAGCTGTGGGAGGGAGTGAGATCCCCAAGAGGAAAGTGTGACGGGGACAAACAGCAGCCCAGATGGAGGCAGGGGGACCCCAGAGGTTCCATTGCAGATGAGAGTTCTGTGCTGAGAGAGGATTTTAGGAAGGGGACCAATGGTGTCCTCAGAGGAGGCAGGGAAACAGGTTAAAGAGGAGGGGGAATCACCCCTGCTGGAAAGGGAGCCACGAAAGGCCTCGTTAGGCTCGCGAGGAAGGGCGGCCTTGGGAGGAGGGAGTGTAGTGATGGGCAGAAGCCAGAGCAGTGGGGGTTGAGAAACTAGCAGGAAGCAGGGGAGTGGAAACAAAAGTGTAGTGTATGGTGTCGGAAATTCTGATGTTTGTCTAGAAAGGCCCAGGATAGTCTACCAGGTAGAAATTACAGAATGAAAACTTGGTACAACCTTCACAATGAAAAGTGAAGGGGAAAAAACCCTACTGGTATCCTCTGTGCTATCCCATAAATTACCACAAGGTGGCGCATGGGTCTTAGTCAAATCACCAGACCTTTTCTCTGTCCACCCTGCAGAACAACTTCAGCAAAAGGACCAACAGATCCTACTCTTACTGGACGAAAAGGAGATGATCTTCCGGGACATGGCTGAGTGCAGCACCCCTTTGCCAGAGGAATGCTCCCCAACTCAGAGCTCTAGAATCCTCTTCCGCGCCAACACAGAAGAGGCTCTCAAAGGAGGACCTTTAATGAAAAGTGCAATAAATGAGGGTAATTTCTGTTTGGTGGTGTTCCTTCTGCATCACTTCCCAGTGTGGTTTACACATGAATGTTACTTTTTACTGTAAAACAAAGCACAGACACAGAAAACAAACACCAGTTTTGTGAGTTCTCAGGTAGCATCTTGTCATCACGACCCAGGTCAAGAAATAAAATGTGGCCAGATACCTTAATGCTTCCACATGTCCTGCCCCCATCAGAGTTCTCTCCCTCCCTCCAAAAAAAGAACACACATTGTGACTTTTATAGAAAGCACTTAACGTTTCTTTATGCTTTTGTGGCCAGGTACCTCTTCATAGACACTCTAGTGCCGTCTTGCTCCTGTGTTTTGATAGCTGAAATTTAATTTCTAGCTCCCCCCATCCCATTCTTTTCCCCACAGTGTAACTTTGAGAGATCTGGGCTTTTTAATGAGTAGAGCTTCATGTCTTCTTTCTGCAGTGGAGATCCTTCAGAACCTGGTGAGTGGGGGCCTGGGAGGCCCGCTCACTCAGGCTGTCGGCAGCCCCGCTGGGCAGGAAGGCACGGTGGGCCCCGTGTCCTTGCCCCGGAGAGCAGAGACCTTTGGTGGCTTTGACAGCCATCAGATGAACGCTTCAAAAGGCGAGTGACTTTGAAGCCATGTCCTTTTATAATCGATCCTCGACTCTTCCATAGAAGTAAGAATGGTCTGCACTCGAGTGGCTCCATCTCATCTGTCAATAAATGTTTTCTTGAGATCCTCCTAAGTATCCAGCTGCTAAACCTCTCAAGAACCTCTATCACGTTTGTTCTGAGTAATAAGGACGTTCCTGGGATCTCGGCTAAGCCGTAGTCAAAGGAGCAGTAATACTCGTTGCTTCTAGTTGTTCTACATCAATAAAAATTAATAATCACTCGCCACCAGGTGACCTGCCACCAGGTGGCTTCCCGTTCTTTGGCTTTTGTAGGATTCAGAAATATCACATCCCTAAGCTATAGATCTTATGTTCTTTTCTTGGCTAGTCTGTTTTACAGCCTTTAAAAACAAATTTATTTCTTTGTTCAGGAGGTGATAAGGAAGAGGGAGATGATGGCCAAGATCTTAGGAGAACAGAATCGGATAGTGGTCTGAAAAAGGTATCTTTTTGCCTCTAAAATACACTAAGACCTTCTTACCATTTCCCACTGGATTCACAGTCTATGAAACTCACCCACTCTGATCTTGTTTTGCATGCTCGACTTGCTGTTTTTATTTCCTACTTTAGTTTAAGAGGAAAGAAAGTGCATTCATAAACACATAGTACGGTTAAGAGTCCCCATACTGCTGGCCACTTGGCCTCTCTGGCTTAGAGCTTCCTGTGTATGTCCATTGCCCGACCAGGGCCCTGGCGGGACCAGTTTCCGCATGAGGTTAGTTTAAATGCCCAAACCAGCCCGGACTCTTCACAAGGTGGGAGAACCAGCTCAGTGTCAAGTCTTTAGGCCCCTGCAGCGGGAGGCTGTGGTAGAAGAGGAAGGGCGTGGGACGCCCTGGACACACGCGACATGCAGTTCCTGCCCCAGGATCTTCCTATTTTTTAAATCCATGTATTTTTGTCTCGTAGGGTGGAAATGCTAACCTGGCATTTATACTTAAAAGAAACAATGAGGTAAGGACGTGATGAGCTATTGAAGAGTATGACTGTGTTGTAATTGCTGGGTTAGGAATGCTCATTTTTGTTTTGCTGGCGTAAACCGGCCGACTCCTGGCCACGCTCCGCGTGCTTCACCGTGTGGGTGTCGCGTCCCGCTTTCCCCCGACCTGGGGTGCTCGTTGCCTCGGGGCCACGCCGCAGCACTGCCTGCTGCCGTGGCTGCTGCTGCTCAGCCCTGGAGAGGACCCTTGCTCCTCTGTCCGCCGGCTGGGAAGCCTCCTCAGAGCCATCTCCAGTCCAAGCACCCCGAGTATACTCTGCAGCCTCCATTCTTGCGACACAAGCCTGGGTCACGAGAACCACTTGTCTGCAGTGTGGAGGATTCATTTGTGGGCAGCTGTGTGCAGTCATTTCTTATCCCCCAGGGCCTCGCGTGGAGCTTCCTTCTTTGAGCCCTGCTTTTCACATAGCACGTGGGTCGCTCTAAACGTGGCCTCGGTGTCCTGCTCATTAGAGATTGGACTCTGGTTCGAGTCGTTCCCACCTTCCTCCAGCTGAGGCCTGCCCATCCTGCCGGGTCACTGCACACCTTCCCCCGGCTGCCCCTCCCCGGCCCCCTCTCAGGAAGAGCCCTCCAGGCTGCGCTCTCGCAGCTCTGTCTCCCCTGCTCGTGCGGTTCTGTGCGTCAGCGGACGACGGCTCCACACACAGCAGTGGCCTTTGCGGGGCGCGCCTCTCGGGGGCCTTCTTGTGTTTCTGCTTGCTCCCTACCTAGACCCTAACTTCCTGAGAAGCGTCGTTTTCAAATTCTAAGTTAATGGGACCGTTCCCTTCTTCTAAAGCGCAGAGGGATGTTGTTGCCTCTGTTGGCATGGAAACCCACCCAGCCTGTTGCTCTTGGTGTTTGGAAGTTAGCTCTTTGTTGATTTTTCCATTGGGTGGCTTCTGCCCCAGTATTTAGTGAGAAGAGGCAGGTAAGAGACAGAACAAGGCCAGTGTTTCCAGGCATTTCAGCCTGGGCTACAGGCTGCAGATGCCCAGCCAGTGTCGGCTGCTCTTCCGTGCCACGCCCCTCCCTCTGCTACTAACAGTAACCTTAAGTGAGGGGTGAAAAGCACTTTCAGATATACTTAAGCCTGAGAAGTACTTTTTGTGTGTCTTAAGTACTATAAAAGGAATACGTATTCATGGCAGAAAATTTGAAAACTGCCCAATAATGTACACAAAATAAAACAGGGAAACAGAATCTCGCCACTGAGAAGTAACTGGGGTTAAGTGTTCAGTGCTTCTCTTTCCAGCCTTTTCTTCTATGTAACACTCATTGATGTGTCTAAGTTCGTGTGAGTGTGACTGGTATAAAAATAGTGTTACACGGCTCGTATCAGTACTCACTGCTCTCCAGAACATCCTGCCCTGAACCTTTTTTCTAATGCACACAAGAAGCATCTCCCCTGAGCACATTTATTTGGACACGCTCAGTCACGTTGGCGGACTGTGATGTCGTGCCCTGGAACTTACGTGACCTCTCCAGGGTGATGGATTCTGCCTCTGCTGCCCCGCTTTCTGCGTGACGCAGCCCAGAGCTCCTGGTCCCGGCGTCCTCCCCTCTGTGCGCGCTCTGCTCCCGGGAAAGGAGGTTCCACAGGGCGCAGCTCTGCCGTGGGGGCCCAGGCTCCGCCTCGCCTTTCTTCACCGGCTTCGAGGATTTGCATTTCTCCATTGACATTTTGTTGGTTTGCAGCGTTCAAGTGGTATCTCTTTATTTGGCATTGATATGATTTCTAGTAAAGCTGAATCATTTGTAATACGTTGTACAGTTGGCTGTTTGTAGTTCTTTTATAAATTGCTGGTTTGCATTCCTGGCCTTTCTTCTTATGAGAGTATCCATTTGTTATTGATCTATGAAAGCTGCTTTAAATCAAGTATTTTTTTGTTTGATTTTCTGGTCAGTTTGCCTCTTTGCCTTTTAATTGTACGTTTTACGTAGTGAAAGTTGAAGATTTTTGTGCGTCTGTGTTCTTCCATTGCCTTCCCTGTTGCAGGGTCAGAAAGACATTCTCCTACTTTCTAATACCTCTTTTATGGTTCTTTTTTCAATACTTGGCATTTTAATGTGTTGGAATGTTTTTCTTTTGTGAGCAGGATTCACACTTAGTTTTTGACAATGATTGAGCCAGTTTTCTCAGAAAAATTCATTGAATATTCTCCGTTGATTTACAGATGCTCCTTCTGCCATATACTGAACTCTTACATTTGCTTCAGGGCTTTCTGCTCCGTTCGATGGGTATGCACGTCATTTTTGTGCCCGTCACTTTAAATAATTGGAGCTTTCTTTACTGTGTGCTGATGTCCCTCCTACACACAGTCATTTGTTTGGTCTTGTTTTCTTGGCTAACTGGACCTGCTTTTTCTCTTGGTGCTTTCAGTTTGAAAATACTGTTCCAGTGCAAGCACCTTGCTGTGCGTGGGGAGGTGACCTGGTCAGCTGACGGATGGGTGGCGGGCGTGTGGCTCAGCCCTGACCAGATGTGTCCCTGTGTTCCCTCCACAGCAGGTGGTCCAAAGCATCATCCGTCTCCACGAGCTCCTCAGCACTCTGCAGGTGCGTGCCTTTCCCTGGCCCCGCTTCGCTTCTTTCTTTCCACAGAGATGGTAAAGAGGGTACATTGGATTTTGAGTGTGTAGGTTCCTTATGAGTGTCTGGGGCGCTCGGTCTAGAGAAGAGTGGCTCTCGAGATGAGGAGGGGGTCATAGGACGCAGCGATCAGGGTGCTGTCTGCCCCCCGCAGACTGCAGCTGGTGGGCGGCAGTTCTGTAGCAGCCATGCCCCAGGAGGCAGCAGCGTGCTCTCGGGCCATCATGTCACTCCAGAGAGGCTTCAGCAGGGTTATGAGTTTCCCTGTACTGTTTCTCTCTGTGCCGTTTGTATAGCAGGGCCCTTTTGAAACAGCCATCCCTTACCCTTCCTGGGAACATCTTCCAATTCTGCTCACTTTGTGTTCTTTAAGATCTAACTAATCCTGTCCTGTCTGCCCCTACCTGCAAAACACACTCCACACCAATGCTGGTGCCTGCAGAGAGCACACGACCGAGTCTGACAGACGCTGAGTTCCTAAGCCATGGGCGTCCCTGTTTGATGACTAACTGCCCACGGTTCTCCCGGAGTGTTTTTCCCAGACCAGCTTCAAATGAGAGCACAGTGACTCTCTAGTGACTCGTGCCCCCAAGGACTGGGTCAGGGGGACAGGAAGCAGGAAGCTCGCTGTCCTCCTGGCCAGAGGTGCATCTGTCTCCTCCTGCTGTCTCCCCCAGGGGGTGGTGTTGCAGCAGGACAGCTACATCGAGGATCAGAAGCTGCTGCTGGCGGAGAAGGCGCTCACCCGGACTTTGTCCCGCCCCAGCTCGCTCATTGAGCAGGAGAAGCAGCGCAGCCTGGAGAAGCAGCGCCAGGACCTGGCCAACCTGCAGAAGCAGCAGGCGCAGCACCTGGAGGAGAAGCGCAAGCGGGAGCGGGAGTGGGAGGCCCGGGAGCGGGCGCTGCAGGAGCGCGAGGCCCGGCTGGCCCAGCGGGAGGAGGAGGTGCAGCGGGTGCAGCAGGACCTGGAGAGGGACCGGGAGGAGATCCAGCAGAAGAAGGGCGCCTACCAGTGTGACCTGGAGAGGCTGCGTGCGGCCCAGAAACAGCTCGAGAGGGAGCAGGAGCAGCTGAAACGGGACACGGAGCGGCTCAGCCAGAGGCAGGTGGACCGAGACACCTGTCAGGTGAGAGAGCCACGAGTAAAAGGGGTTTGCTGAACCTGTTCAGATACAGTGAAGAAAGAGCCTTCTGTGTGCTGAGCACCGGGAGGAAGGAAGCCAGGATATAAATAAAGGCTGTTTCTGTAGAATATCTTTCACACTAAAAGGGGCAGATGAGGAAGTGGGTCTTTTTCTCATTTTTTCACCTCCAAGAGGCTGATGAGGAGAGTGGAAATGCTAGGGATTTGGTCAGGAAGTCGTCAGACTTGGAGCTGACGGGCACTTCCGCAGCATGTCTGAGACAATTTCAGGGCCACCCCTCTGCTCTGTGCCACGTAAGAAACCAGAATTTTCACCCCCTGAAGGGACTGGGGGCCACACAGGGTCTGTGAACACCAGGCGTCAGTAAGTGGCTCTGATGCGTGGGTCATGGAAAGGACAGGCGGGGGGTCCAGGGGTGTCAGTTACGGGGAAGAGCCCACCCCCGGAGGGAGGCAGCTGCTCTTTCAGGGAGGGGTGCCCCTGCTTGGGTGTGCGGGTGAAGACTTCCTTTCCCTGTGGCTGCCACTCCCGTGGGAAGGGGGCTTTTCCTTCCTCAGGCACTGGCTCCCGCTCTTCTTTGCCTGAGATTTGGTGGCAGTTCTGGGACACGGACACTCCCGGCAGGTGAAAAGCCTGAGCACACAGGTCACCTGTCTAGATACTTGTGTCATATTGCCTTTGGTTTGTTGATTGACCTTGGGCCATGAAAGAAAATTAAACTCGCGTCTCGTAGGAGGTGCAGTTTTGCTGTCTGCAGAGGTCCTCTGTCATTTGAATGGTGGGAGCAGCCAGTGCTTCTGCCCTGCTCCTTATGGCAGAGGATGGGCTCCACCCGCCCCCCAGTCATGTTGGCGGGGCCTCCACAGGCCAGAGAGAGTGCATAGTAGGCTGTTTGCCTTTCTCTCATGTCCGCTTTGGTTTACATCCCTGTGGCAATAAATTTTCAGGTCAGCAGCTCCCCTCTTTCTTCAGGGAGTGGGACTTCTTTTTTAAACTGCCTCATCCAAGGTCCTGTTAATTCTGTATGATGCTGATGGTAAGTGCATGTAGTAAAAACAGAAATGGTGTCCAAGGTGATATTTTAAACATTTTTGTAGATACTACTTGGGGGCGGGCAGGAAAGGAATTCTGCATCTTTTTATATTGAGGACCATGGAGTCCAGGGAGGCGGGTCGTACCGCGCTGACCCACCAGCTGCTCTGGGCCAGCACCCGCCCGGTGGGCCCCGGGCGCCGCGGCCTCTCAGTAACCCCTTCTCTGCACGTGCGCAGGTTTCACATCGACAGACCAAGCTGCTGAAGATCCCGTCCTTCCTCCCCAATCCCGAGGAGTCCCCCCTGCCATCTGCACCTTTGATAGCCAAATCGGGCTCGTTGGACTCGGATCTCTCGGTGTCCCCCAAAAGGAACAGCATTGCTCGGACACAGAAAGACAAGGGGCCTTTTCACATACTGACTTCCGCCAGCCAGACCAGCAAAGTCCCAGAGGGTCCGAGCCAGACCCCAGTGTCCACCTCCTCTTCCACCACACGCCTGTTTGGGCTACCAAAGACAAAGGACAAGAAGGACAAGAAGAAGAAGAGCAAAGGAGACCGCTCGCAGCCCCGTGGTGAGCCTGTCTCCCTGTGGCCGTCTTGTCCTGGATTTTGAGGAGTTGGGTAGATGTTCTGGGCATGGGACAGGTGGATGAAAGGGCCGTTCAGGTGTATAAAAGCCCAACTTCCTTACTTGTTACCAAACCCACTTGCTTCATCCTCGAAGGAATGAGGCACTAATTCAGCGAGCATCTTGGAGCCTACTCTGCGGCACGTGTGTTCAGAGTAGGGGGCAGGCTTCGTTTTCAGGCGTTTATTATCTAATTAAGGAATGCAAACCCTCCTAAAGGGAGCACTTTCAGTCTTCCCTCCCCCCGTCCTGTATCCACCCGGTGCAGTGATTGGTAATAGTAGCTCGCACTTGGCGAGCATTCCGAGATCACCTGGACTCCTCCGAGGGACTGCGGGAGGAGGCGGGGCCGACTCCAACACGGGCCTGGAGCCTGCAGCTCAGAGAGTGCCTGACGTGCCCGCCCTCCCAGAGCTTGTGCCTGACCGCTCAGCTGGGCACCCCCATGCTCACACCCCCAGAATGACTGCGCACTCCCTCCATGTGAGGTCAAAGAGGAGTTTGTTTGCTGGCCCGTTTATGAGTAGGAAGTCCAGTGCTTCTTCAGAGTCAAAGGGAGCAGTGAGGAGTGGCAGGCATCGCCGGACCTCGCTGACGGAACCAGTCAGGGAACCCACGGGCGGGCGGTTGACAGCCCACTGGCCCCCGTCATCTGTCTGCGTCTCGGAAGACTTGTGTTTGGGGACAGAAAGAAGGGGTCCAGTTTTTTTTCTGACTTTCTTTCCCTTTTTGGTTTCCCCATTTCTAGACGGCTCTGCATCAGAGGTGCCCGCAGAGGGCGAAGAGATCTTCTGCTGACCCCGTTCCTCCACCGGCAGCATCATTGCCCCACGCCCTCCTGTGTCCCTGCGTGTCCACTCTCACCTGTCGACACCATGCTCTGCAAGCGTCTGCTGCTGTGTGCTGCCCCAGGCCGTGGACCTGAGGAACGAGTGGTCACAAGCGTCAGGGTGTGTAAGGTGGCCTCAGACTTACCCGCCCAGCTCACTGCCCCACGACTCTTGGGTTGGGGTCAGCCTTCCTGAGGATGTTACACCAAGAAGAGTGTCCCCAGAAGTCCAGGTGCTGGTTTGGGACATGTCAGGAATTCCTAAAGCTGAAGGAATGTTTCCAGCTGAGGTGTGCGTGCCGGCTTCCTTTCATTTTAGGGAACACAACTGAAATCGGACAGCAGACAGCGTGGACTTTCTGTGCGTGCAGAGATGGTAGCCGTCTGTGCGGACACGGGGGTACGGCAGAACCGTGTGCACCTTCTGCCCCAGACACTGCAGGTGGCTCGGAGGTGCTCAGCCTCTCACCTGCTAGGCCTCCTGGGCGGTGTCGTCCCCCGCCCACCTCACCCCGTGGACCTGTGTTTCTCATGTCATTTCAGAAGGGATGACAAACATTTGTGGAAACCAGTGAGAACAGACCTGGCGTGTTTCAACGCCACGAGATCCGCACCACCTTGGCTTTGGGATTTCGGTCACAGCCTCTAGCGATGTCATGAGCCAGTCCCGGAAGAAATTCTGCACTGGCTTTCCAAGGCGTTTGCCACATATTCCCAGCACAGATGAAGTAGAGAGGCCTCTTCACCGTTGCCCTTGCAGCGTGACACTTTCTGGTTGTCACTGACCATTCAGAAATGGCCACGGCCTCCTGGCAGGCAGTGTCCCCGAGACCTCGTGGGCTGCTCCCCAAGAGCAGTTGTTCCTGCCTGACCCTCCCTGTGGGAGACGGCGGTCCCCTCCCCGATCCACCAGTAGGGACCGCGCGCTCCCCTGCAGGGAGCTTCGTCCCCGCCCTGTGCTAGGACAGCTGGCCGAGGAGGGGTCAGTGCAGCTGTTAGCACCTGCGCAGTGGTTTACACCGGTACAGAGACAGGAGCAGGTCCGACAGGCATGGCTTGCGAAGGTTCTCATGCTGTGTCACGGGGCCTTGGCAAAATTTAATTTCTTTAAAAAAATTTTTTTTTAATTTAAAGGTCTGTTGGTTTTTGTATTCGGACGCTTGATGATGCCTCACGTGCCACCTGTGTTTTATGTTCCTTTTCCTTCTCCTTGTTTTCCTTCTGCATTGGCACCTGTGTCTCTCCAGCTTGTTACTGGCTGGCAGGTGCGGGACGGTTCACGGGTGACGTTTCCTTCCGAAGCCCCACACACCTGCCCCACTAGTAGCTCCCAGGGGGCGAGACTGGGAAATTCTTCGCTTTCAATGTGGCCTTTGTTTCCTGCTTTCGCCCCTTAGGAGCTGGGTCTTTGACCATACTTTTTAAAAACAAAAAAACCCCGTAACTTGGTGCTTGTTGATGAATTGCAAGCTGGCCTTGCAGATGGAGATATTTATCTTTCAGTTTATTTGAAAGAGGTCTGGTTTAAAATTGTTAGCATAGATTCGTTTTATTTATTGTGCGTGTCTGTGTGTCTGTGTGTGTCTGTGTGAACGTACTGTCCCAACGGTTTCAACTATCTGATCACTACGGGGAAGGAACAGTGGCCTGGCTGCTTACTCCTCAGTGTCTGTCAAAGTGCCTTGAAGGCCCAAAAGAAATTACGATTGGAGGAGGGGTCCCTTTCCTTCCCTTCTCCCACCCCACCTCATTCTTTGATCAAGGGATGTCTTTCTGCTTGAGAGTTAAGAAACTGGCTGCCTATGAAGGACATTTGCGTGTTTTTGTCATTGAGAGTTCTTACCTTTTGGCAATAGACTTTAAGGAAGAAACTGAGTGTTCTTTTGAAATCATGATGTAATACTCCCCCACCCCCCGTCCCCACCCAAAGACCCTAAACAGCAGAAGCTATGTTGCTTGCTTCCTTCTACCAGGGCCCCAGCGTAAGTTACAGGCATGGCTGTGCTGGCTTTCCTGGGGCCACGTGGAGCTCCGATGTCTGTGTTACTCGCTGGGGGCAGCCCTGCGGCTTCATGTTGCACGGAGAGAAGCGCTCTGCCGGAAAGGGCACTGGCACACCTCCTTCCTCTGGGTCAGCGTGGGCCGGGCCACCTGCGCTCCAGGCTGCAAATAGGAAGGGCTTCGTGCCCAAGAGGTTGGCCGTCACACCCGCCCTTCACAGAGGCGCTGCGGGCTCTGAGCACTGGACCAGGCCGCACAGCGCGATTTGGGTTTCAGCCCCACAGACCCGTGCTTCTGACCCTGAGAACTGCCCTGGCCAACCAGGCTGAGCCCCATGTGGGTGACTTCCCTGTGATGCGCGGTTGTCTTCTAGGGCGACGCGGATTCGGTTCCCTGTGGGCGTCCCATGTGAGAAAGCCGTGCTTCTCCATCACGCCCCAGAAATCAGATGCCCCAGATTGAGTTTCAGTTTTGGGAGGGTGGAGGGAGACACCTCCCAGAGTCCCCAGATTTTCAGCATCTAGTAAATTTTCTGGAAGGAGGGTGTATCTTCTCTCAGTTAGATCATCTAAGTAAATTGTCATCGGATTGGGTGACAGGTGCACTTTACATGCCGTCAGCAGTTGGCTTCATTGTCGTGACAACTACGTCAACTGGTTTCTTCTTTGAACATGGAGAGGGTTAAAAACATGCAGATTGCTGTAATTCAGCCTTGGCCAACATGCCATCCTCTACCCTCACAAGGGCTCTCTGTGGGCAAGAAATCTGCATCAAGATTGTTTTTGGAAAGGTACGAACTTTGCCTTTTTTCCTCTTACGTCTCAGGGTAATGCCACCGAAGGTCGTCGCTTCGCCCATCTGCTCCCTTCGTTCCCCTTCCCCCTCCCTCCTTCCGCGTGAGCGGCAGTGACCACAGATGTGTAAGAGCCTTGGGGTTTGTCGGACCCTTCTTGGAGTGGAGGGCAGATGGTGTGGAGGGGTTTAAGAAAATAGGCTTTGCCTTAAGTAAAAGTTAGAGGCCAGAACCTGATCCAGAAGTTTGGGTTCACAGAAGTGGTTCCTGTTTCATCCTTTTGTTTCCGAGGTTCTTTATCTGTAGCTTTTTCTTTCTTCCCAAGGATTTTGAAACAGACATGGGAGCGGCAGTTTACTTTGATGTCCAGGGGTGGCCACAGCCAAGCCCTGGGAGGGTTTTAGAGAGATGGTCCTGGTGAGTGGGCTCCCGTGGCCATAAAGAGGATGGCTTGGAGGGGACACTGCAAAAGGGCATCAACATCGCCCCCTGTCCCCTGCCACCCCTTTGCTTGGATGCCTGTGCAATGTGGAGCCAGAAATGTATGTGTGGAGTACGGCGGTTGGCGGAGGTTCAGAGAGAGGTGTGCCTGCCTGCCTGCCTGCCTGCCTTTAGCAGGGCCGGTGGACACACACACGGCCAAGGTCCCCACTGGCTGGGTGCCAGCCTATTTGCTCTTCTGGCTGGCCCTCAGAGATAAGGATGGGGGCAAAGGGTTTGTTTCGGTTTGGTTCCTCCTTTTTCCTTCAACATAGCATAACATTCCTAGTTAACCAGAGTCTAGAGTCTGCCTGCTGGCCAGGTTTTAAAATGAGAAGTATTTTAATGCTGCCGTAAAAGGAAAACACAAAACAAAGGCTTCTTTCCATGGCCTCCTGGCCCAATTTAATTTGTCAAAAAGATGACAGGCCTTGAATTAGTTCTCCATCTCACTAAGGTTTAAAGATGGGTAAACCCAAGTGGGTCAAGTCTCTCCCACCACAGACCGTGCAGACCTGCTGCACACGCCCAGCCTGAGTCGCCCTCCGCCGGGGCCTCCCTCCGGCCTCTGTGCATGCACCCCAGGTCTTCGCCCTGCTTGAACGCCTCTGCCTTTGCAGCCGCCTGTCAGGAGGGCAGCACTCCGACGGGGACCCGCCCTGTGGTCACGTTCAGCCTGTGGTTTCCTGTGTGTCACGTACCGTCACCCCGTCACCCCGTCGGGGGCGTGGGGAGGTGCCAGGAGGTGCAGGAGGGTGATTGCACACACCTCATACCTCTGCTTCTGCTCATTGTTTTAGATGCTAGGTGAGCATTTCCGTGCTAAATCCTATTAAATAAGTGGTTAAAACCAAGATGCTGTACAGTAATTTGTAATTATGTATAAAGTAAAGCTGTTTTAAACTATAAAGATTTTTTTTTTCAGTGTTTTCTGGAATTTTACCATGACATACTTACTGGCTTTGTATTTTATTTATCTTCCTATCTAGTTACTGGCTTCAGATTCTTGTAAAGTTCTTCTCGGCCCTTCCAAAAAAATAAACGTCCTCTAAGTCTTCACTGTGGCTGCTGCGTGCCTGTCGCACTGGGCTCCCTGGGGGGAATCTCAAGATACTCTGGGTTTCTTGTAAAAGGGGTAGCCCCTTCCCCAACTGTAACCAGAGCCTTTTCCCCAGTGAACACTTTCTTTATTTGGGGACAGAAAGCAGGAGGAGATCCTGAAGCACTAAGTGTCTCCGTGGGGACTCCCACTCGTTCCTACAGCCAGGACTCAAAACCCTCGGGGTGCCAAGTGTTGGAACTTTCTCCAGTTAACGAAGTAAAACTGTCCTTTGCCGTAGAATCTACGATGTGAAGAGATTAACGTTATATTGCCTTTTTTGCCAACTTTCATCATCCCACCCCATCCCATCCCCCAAACAGGGCAACTGCCAAAACCTGATTCCGTTAAGAAAAATCTTACTTGCCTGGAGCGAGCTCCGCAGGGATCAACTGGATGTGATCACACAACACTGGGGGCTCCACTGAGAAATCTGGGACACACCCGAGGAGCTGTGCCTGCCCCTTTAACAGGCCCCTCCGTCCCCTGGACCCTGGGGATTGCGCCATATGGTGTCAAGCAAAGGGGCCTGGGATCTTGGCATTGCCACTTGCAAGCTTGTCACCTAACAATGGAAAAGAAAGTCCTGCCCTAGTGCCAAGTGTCTTCCCTCTCTGTGAATTTGGAAATGCAACGATCCCCTAAGAGGCTCCTCTGGCCTTGGCAATAGCTGCCATCCTACAAGCCAGTGACACACTGGTGCATTCTCACCAACTCACTGTCCTTGGGTGTCACTACAGCTGCAGCAGTCCCCTACCCTTCTGAATGCCCGTCCCACGGAGACGCCTCAGCAGGGCCAGGAGAGCGGTTCCCAAGGCCTTCCATGGTCCTTGGGTCTGAGCCAGGGTCAAGCTCTGCCTGGGAGGGAAGAAGAGCGAGGAGGTTCCATTCTTCCTCCCAGAACAGCAGGTGCAGGAGGCGCTCAGCGCTCCAGGAACACTGGACAGCCATCCGCAGGGCTGTTGCCCGCCCCGCCCCCGAGGGGAAGTGCTATGGCCGGAGCCTCTGCCACAGGGCAGACCCAGTCACTGAGTGTCTTCCATAAAAGCAGCATTTTTCTGCTTGCAGATCCCCATGCCCAAGGGAGAGCCATGCTCTACAAACTGACTTAGTAGACTGGGTGTTGCAGCAGAGGCTCTGTCCGGACAGGAAGTGTGGTAACTGATGCCACAGGACAGAAATCTGAGTCAGGAATAAAGGAGGTGCCAGTGAGGCCAGAAAAGAGACTGCCTGGGGAGGAGAAAATGCGGTGCACAGGTTGTTATTTTCCTCAGAAGCCGTAACAAGTAGAACCAAGGTCAGCCGAGCTGCAGAGTCTCAGAAGTAAGGTTGGGAACTCCTGTCAGTGGGGGACCAGTCACCTCATCCCCCAGCAGCCTTGGGTCCCGGATGCCTTGTCAGTGAGAAGGATGCTTAGGCAATTGCCCCCATTTCTTCAGGGGCCTCCTGGTCACCTACAGGATGGTGAGGTGCTCTGCCACCCTGTGGGTGTCCTGAAAGGGGCACAGCGGGAAGGGGAGTTGGGCTTGGGAGGGGTTGTGTGTGCCCCAGATTCAGGGAATGTGGGCTGCAGGGCCCCACTGACCTCCCCACCCCCACCGGTCTCCAGCCGCCTTTGGTATCCACGTTACAGCCTGGCCCGTCCCCAGGCCGCTCTGGCCTCCTTTCATATGCTAATTGTTGCTCTGCACAGCTAGAAATAGTCCCCACTGAAGCTGGGGCTGCTCCTCCCTCCTGGCGCCTTTGTGCAACTTTCCTTGTCCCTGGGAAACTGTATCTGGAGTGGCAGGGGGGAGAGGGGCCCAGGAAGGCCTCCGTGGGAGCACTGACTGGGGGAGAGGAGTGACAAAGTGGCTCCTGGGAACAGACCAGCTGAAGGCCGAGCCTGCTTTGTTCTCCCTCCGGAGTTGCCCCTTCCCTTGGAGGGTCCCTGAACTTCCCACCCCACCCCCAGCTTCAGAGTTGGAGCTGGGCAGTTGCCTGGACAACCTCCTTCTACCCAGCCTTGCCCCCGTCTGTGTCCGAAGGAGGGGAAACTGGCCACCTGAAACATGGTCCGGGCTCTACAGGAGTCCAGCTGTGGTGAGGAGCTTGGGAGGGTGCTGGGGGGGTCCCACTTCCAGAGGGGGCTGTGGACAAAAGCTGGGAGACCCCTGGATGCAGTCAGCCTCTCAAACTCTCACAATCAGGAAGCCAAGGCACGCTTCTTCAGTCAGACTGCACTTTGCAAGCAGGAGCTGAAATCCTTCCACTGCGGTAACCACATCCACAGGGTGGCTCGTGATGTGCAAACCCAGGCCACGGGGAAGCCACAGCCTCGGTGCTGAAACTCACATCCGGCTCCTTGTTTCCCAGTGGCCAGGGCTAAGCAGGAAACGTATTTCTAATGGGGTTTTCTTTGACTCTGCCCAAAAATCTGGAATGCTTTCTCCTTCCAGGTAAACTTTTCTCACACGCAGTTCCTCAGCTGGAAAGTTACAGGATGGGACAAAGGAGATGGACACTGTTGAAGGAAGTACTTAGGTACTTTATGTACCTGAGGAGACAAGTCACCACGTACAGGCAGAGCTGGCATCTGGGTCCAACCGGTGTCACTCCCAGCTCGTCGCCGCCTCCCTATACTGTGCACCTGGTGGGACAACACACGTCTGCAGAGGCCTGACCTGGCCCCAGAGCACAGCTCAGACTCTGGCATCAGGGACGGTGCTGGCCTGCACAGGGCGCAGGTGAACCAGCATTGTGGGGGCCATGCTGCAGTGGCTGGTGCCCACTTCCGAAGTCACTACGCCAGCCTTACACACTTGTTATTTTTGTACAAATGAGTATCAGCTGGGAGACCCCAGTGCACAAACAGGCACACAGAGATGAATGAATTTGCAACCAAGAACTCACGACATGGGTTTTCCAGGAAAGAATGACTCTCAGGAGAATGGGAAACGCAGGATTCTACAGGAGACTCAATTCAAAGGCTTCTGAGCTGCTGAAAGCATCTGAATAAAGGGAATGGGTCTCCCCACATTCACAGGAGGGGCAGACCCGGAGCCCTGGATGGTGGGGTAAAGACAACTCAGCCCATGACTCTGTCCCCCAAGAAAGGCTCCAAAGCCCACAGAAAGCAGGGATGTTCTCAGTTCATTTATTAAGTTAGAAACGGGACAAGGTATCAACATTTGAGGAAAGCACCGTGAGGTCCTTTGTGCTGTGACAAGTGTGCTTAGCTCAACTCAGCAGCCCGACAGGGTCAGGGGCTCCTGCAGAGCTGCTTCCCCGCCTCGGGCCCACGAGCAGCGGCTTCCCCGAGTTTTCCACCGGAGCCATCTCCCAGGACCAGAGCCCAGGGCAGCAGGGTGGCTGAGGGAGCACCCCAGCACAGGCAGGCCCTGACCCAGAGGGTGTGTGCGGTCTGAAGGTGAGAGATGTGCCTTCTGCTCCGGAGGGTTCCCAAGTGGCAGCTGGTGTTCATCAGTGGGTGACCCTGACAAGGTCCGAGTCCGCAAGAAGAAGGCAGCTGGCTTGTGACGTGGCCTCACTTTGGAGCCTGGCCCGGAACCAGCCAGGTGGCACTGCACGGAGGGCAGGCAGGAGCCACAGGTCTTGGCTGAGGCCCAAGGGTCCCCCCCACCTCCAGTGAATGGCACACTGGGGTGAGCGAGCGATGAGCTGGAAACTGACCTTGGATGTCAGGGTGCCTGCTGGGAGGAGCTGATCTCTCCAGAACCCCGGATGCTAGGGAGAGACTGATGAGCGGGTCCCAACGACTTAGATGGTTAAAAAAAAAAAACAAAAACCAAATGTCTGGCAGTTCTCTTGGGACCATGATCACTTTGTAAGCTCAGGGCAGAGGGGCCAAATCCAGTTACCAGCGGGAAGGCCAGGATGCCAGAGACCAGTGGGTGCTGGTTGGGGTCAGGAGCGTGACCTGGTTGCTGGCCTCTACCCCGCGATGCGTCCAGCACTGGGCACCTTGGAGTCCCTCTGGGTCTGCAGCTCCTACTGGCTGCTTGTCTTGAAGGGGAGGGCCACACTCTGCAGACCAGCGTGGTCCCATCAGGACATGGGGTCATTGCTGCTGCTTGTGCAGGGGAGGTGACCCTTGTCTAGCAGCATGTGGCTCTCAAGGCCCTGGGTCCTGCTGTGTGACTGGCAGGACATCCGTGTCTGCACCTGGGGCACGGCTGGCCTGGTAGGAGGTGGTAAAGTCACCCACCTCCACGGATGAGCCCACAGATTTCCTCTATAACCCTACGGTCTGGGTGTCATCTGCTGGCAAGGCAGCCACTGAGATTACCCTACGGGTCCTGACCCTTATAAAGTGTGGCCTTGGTAACGTCCGCTCTCAGTCCTGCTGGACCCTGTTTCCCTGAGGCCTGGGACGTCCTCGCGGGTGACATAACGCCCACAGGGAAGCCCTGAGTTGAACAAAGCTGTGCCGTCAGTGCTGCCCCCGCCAGGCTTTTCCTGGTCTGGCCCCCCAGGCCCCACTGAAACCTGCGACCTCCGAGCTCTGCACATGTGTCCTCCTCCTGGAGGCTGAGGGAGTCCTGGCATCACTGCGTGCCCTGTGGAAGGTCCCCTCCCCCAAACCACTGCACAGTGGAAAAAGCCTCAGGCAGACACACCACTGGAGATGACTTCTCTTGTCTAAGCTCAGGACATCTCCCAAGACCAACGCTGCCGGCCTCTTGGAGGGCTGGCCTGGCGCTGGCAGGGACAGGGCTGCTGTGTGACAGTGAGGGCTGCAGCTGGGGACAAGGAGAAACATGCAGAGCCTGCAGGGCAAGAGAGAGAGAGAATGGGAGTCCTGCCCACGTTGACAGATGCCCAAGGACCGTCTCACAGTGACTCAGAAAGGGAAAGGAAAGCGAGCCCTCCAGACAACCTGCGTCTCCATTCACCCGGCAGGTCAGAGGCCACGCAGTCCTGGGCGCCTGCTCCTGAAGGCCGGGCACCACCCGCTGCCTCCAGCATCGCCCAGGCCCACAGCACCAGCACAGGAGGCTGGCGCGGGGTCTCCCGGCAGCTGCACCCTGGACCCACGCAGCCCTGCAGCCTGGGTGCGGCCATCTGTGTGGAGAGAATTCGGCCCTGCCCAGACAGAGGTCTGGCCTTTGCCCTGGCTTCTGGGAGGTGCTGTGTCGCACCTGATAGGAGTGGGTTGGCTCGGGCTGGGGTAGGGACATCACGTGACCTAGGGTGGGGGCTTGGGGTCACCCTGTCCCAGTGACCTGGAGGCTGACAGTAACCACGTGGGCCATCAGGTGATCTGGCCTGAGTGCAGGGGCCCTGGTGACCATGCTGGATGTGAAGGCTCCAGTGAGCGTCCCTGGTTGGCTATGCTTTGTGTGCACTGTCACTCACTGACGTCAGGAGGAGCTCTGTCCTGACCCCACAGGGAGGACACGGTGCTCATGTGGACCCTTTTTGTTTTGACTGCCCCACGCCCCCATGCATCTCTGGCCGTTGCTGACCTTAGTCTGTACCATTTCCCTGTAATAAACCACAACCGTGAACGTGCCGGCCCCCGTGTATTCCGGGAGGCCCTACGGTGACATGTGAATCTCTGGTGGTCCTGGGGGGGCCCCTGCCCTGCAGCTGGTGTCAGAAGTGAGGACACTGTCACACAGAGACTGTGCCTCCGACTTTGCAGGTTGGCCCAAACTCCTCATGGATGTGTCCGGAGACCCCTGGTGACTCTGATGCGCGGCCATGTCTGGCTGTCTCTCCATTGGGCAGAAGGGTTATCTGCTTTGCTCAAGGTCAACTGCAAGGAAGGGGCAGAGCAAGGCTTTGGCTCTGAAAGAGGGTCCCAGAGTCCCCCAGTCCCTGCTGCCCAACCAGGCCACCCCTGGAAGACAGTGACCTTTACCCAGAGCAGGAACGGCCCGGGTGCTGGTGCTCACCTGGCTCTGCGGGGGTTCCTCACGCAGGCAGGTGCTTCCAGGTGCTGACAAAGGCCGTGGGGATGAGCGAGTAGGGCACGGTGGTGACGCAGCTCCAGGTGTCCGCAGTGGGGTCATAGCAGTCCAGGGTCTTGCACCGCTGGGTCCCAAAGTAGCCCCCCACCACATACAGCTTGTTGCCTGAGGCCAGGGCGTGGCAGGACATGCGCTTGGCGGTCATGTCCCCAATCCGAGTCCATTGGTTGGTCTCGCAGTCGAAGCGGTAAGCGGAGGCGGCCGTGAATTCCGTGTCACCTCCCATGATAAAGATCTGGCTGCCCAGCACGGCAGCGCCCGTGTACCGCCAAGGCTGGGGGCACTCGGCCTTGATGGTCCACCGGTTCTCCAGGGGGTCATAGCACTGGACCTTGGACACCATGTCCCGGTGGATGCTGGTCCCCCCAAAAACAAACAGCTTCAGCTTGGCGCTCACCACGGCCGCGTTGCTGACGCCATCTCTCAACGGAGCTACCATTGTCCACTTGTTAGTACCGGGGTCGTACTTTTCCACTTGCTTCAGGGAGACAGAGGGGGAGGCCGGGAAGACGCCTGCCAGGGACGTGTGTCCCCCCACCACGTACAGACAGTTCTCCAGCTCAGCTGAGCCGTGGCCGAAGCGGGCAATCAGCATGGGGGCTGCCTTGGACCACTCCTCATGGACAGTGTCATATACCCACACGTCCTTGGAGACCCCGTTTTCGGAGCCTCTGCCCCCAGTCACGTAGACCTTGCAGCCGATTGCGGAAGCACTGAACTCCTTCCGGGGGCTGGGCAGGTCTGCCTTCGGGATGATCTCCTTGGCCTTGTGGTCCACCTGGTAGATCTTGTCACACATGAAGGTCTGGCCGCCCAGGATGAGGAGCGTGTGGCCTGCTTTGCGCGGCCGGGCGCAGGGGCTGGTGACCACCCCGTCGTTCTGCAGGATCTTGGTCTTGCAGTGGAGCGCCTCGTCTATGATGAGCTTGGTGCGCTCGTCCGCCGTGAGCAGGGCCTCGCTGGACACGGCCTCCTTCAGGCAGTCGGACGGCAGCAGGGCCAGGCGCACGCTCCGGAGGAGCTCAGGCAGGTGGGCCTTCCGGCCCTCGAGGTCGTGCTTCACCCACTGGAGAATGGCCTCGAAGACCACCCGCTCGTCCTCCGTCTCCAGCTCGTCGCTGGAGATGAGGTCCAGCAGCATGTCCTTGGACAGGCTGTTGAAGTCCTCGCTCTGCCGCACTGCCTCGAAGTGCACCAGACACATGCGCCAGGAGAACTCGTAGAGCCGGCGGCACTGGTGGGCGTCCGACAGCAGCATCATGCCCAGGCAGTTGGAGGGGAAGAGGTTCTTCTCCAGGAACTCGGCGGCGGCGTCCCGCACGTCGTGGAACTGCAGCATGTCGCCGGCCTCCAGCAGGGACTCGGCGTTCTCCTCGTTGATGGCGATGCGGGACGAGTAGGCAAAGTCCAGCAGCAGCTCCAGCACCTCGGGGTGCAGGTTGTCCTGGAAGTTGACCGTGTCGTCCCGGCTCTCACGCAGGCCGTGGCTGAACATGGCCTCGAAGTAGCGGCTGGAGGCGGCCAGCACGGCGCGGTGGCAGGGGAAGGCGCGGTCCCCGGCCCAGAGCGTGACGTCGGTGAACATGCGGTGCTTGCGCAGTGTGTTGAGGTGGGCGAGCACGCAGTCGGGGTGCGACGCCTTGTGGAAGAGCGTGATGTTCATGGACCCTGTGCTGCTCCGCGACTTGCGGGTCTCGTGGACACTGACTGACATGCTGAGCCAACCTGCAGGGGACAGCACCACAGGTGAGAGGGGCCACTCCTGACACAGTGACTTCACAGGCCCTGGCTCCCCTGCTGCCTGGCCCTCCCCACACCCCTCTGTGCAGCTCCATCCCTCATGTCAACCGACCACATTGCTGAGGCCCACACGGGCAGCAGAGGCTGGCCTTCACCCCTGCCCTTGGCAAACTGGTTTTGATCTCCCGAGTTGGCATCAGCTATGCAACCAAACACCTTTGGCCTGGATACGAGCCACCCCAGGGCGAGTTCAAGCTGTGCTGCCTCCCATGGTTACGAGGACACACAAATGGTGTCCCTGACCTGATTAAAACAACGTCAGGGCAATGCTAAGTAGTATGTGTGCTTGACGGCATCCGGCCTCTGGGGACGCTGCTCATGTGGCCCTATTCCACCGCAGGGGAAAAAGGCTCGGAGAGGCAAAGCGGCTGCCCGAGGTGCTGGAGCAGGATTCCACGTGGGCTGTTGAGTGCCCCTCCACTGGCCCAAGGAGGCCGATACTGCAGGGATATTGGAAATGGTGTTCCAAGGACACGCATAGCTGCAGCCACAGCCTCACACCCCCAGGCTCCCACGGACCCTGCCATGAGCAGGGATCGAAGCAGCACCGGCCGGGCCTCCCCTCCCCATCCCTGGAAGATCCTGGAGAGGTGCTGCCACGGCCCAAGCACTCAGCGTAGAGACGTTTTCAGCATCCAGGGTCACAGAGACCTCTTGACCCAAGAGGGATGGGCGAGGGTGTGGGGGTGAGGCCAGCTGACCACTGACTCACACCAGCTCAGTTCGGAGGTCCCAACGGGAAACTGAGGCAAAGGCCCAGATGACAGTGGCACACAACTGAACAGTGAAGCAATCCAGATTCGCCTCAACCGAAGGGGCAGAAAAAACTGGCCATTGGAGCCACCCAACCTGACAGAGGATCCCAGCTTCCTGGGCCACTTCGAGCACTTCCCCTGCCTGTCATCCTCTGCCCACAGGGACAAGGCTCAGAGTGCTGGTCCCTGTGAACAGACGCAACCTTGTCGCCCATTTGAATTTGGGAGATTCCAAAGCACTTCAATTAAAAGTCCAGGCAACGAGATGCAGCGCTGTGGGAACGAGAGGCTCAGCCAGGCAGGCAAAATCACACATTTCAAAAGAAGGGGGCCAGAAAGCAAATTGAATTCAGTGTCTTGACTCCCAAGGCCTGTGATGTCTTCCTGTTAGTAATGAGGAAAAAAAAAAACAAAACCCCACCACCCATTTTTTAAAAATTTTATTGAATGACATTGTCTTGTGTGTTCACCACTCCTATTCAAGCAAGTCTCCTTCCAATCACTATCTTCCACCTCCCCCCACCCCACTGCCCCTCTTGCAACTGCCATACAGTTGTCTCTGAGTTTTGTGGGGGGTTTTGGCTAATCCCTTCACCTTTTTAACCCACTCCCCCATCCCCTCTCCCAACAGCTGGGGGTCTGTTCTCTGTACCTACGAGTCTATTTTTGTTTTGTTAGTTTATTTCGTTCATGAGGTTCTTACACATAAGTGAAATCGCATGGTACTTGCTTCTGGCTTATTTCACTTAGTATAATACTCTCCAGGTAAGATTTCCTTCTTTGTTATAGCTGAATGGTATTCCACTGTATAAATGTACCACAGCATTTTCTTCCACTGATCTACTAATGGGCACTTGCTCTTCCAAATCTTGGCTATTGTAAATAATGCTGCAATGAATATAGGGGTACATATATTCTTTCAAATTAGTGTTTGGGTTTCTTCAACATGTTCCCAGAAATGGAAGAGCTGGGTCATAAGATAGTTCCAATTTTTAAGATTTTGAGGTATCTCCATACTGCCTCCCACAGTGGCTGCACCAGTGGGCAATCCCACACACAGTGCACAAGGGGTTCCCTTCCTCCACACCCTCGCCAACACTTCTTGTTTGCTGATTTATTGATGGTAGCCATTCTGACAGATGTGAGGTGATATCTCGTTGTGGTTTTAATTTGCATTTCTCTGATGACTAGTGACACTGAACATTTTTTCATATGTTTATTGGCCATCCGTATGTATTCGTTGGAGAAGTAGCTATTCAAGTCCTTTGCCCATTCTTAAATTGGATTCTTTCTTTGGTGTTGAGTATTATAAGCTTTTCATAAACTTTGGATATTAACCCCTTATCAGATGTATCATTGACAAATATGTTCCCCCCTTCAGTGGGATTTCTTTTTCATTTTGTTGATGGTTTCCTTTGCTGTGCAAAAACTGTTTCATTTTTCTTTTGTTTCTCTTGCCCAAGGAGACATATCAGAAAAAATATTGCTATGAAAAATGTCTGAGATTTTCCTACCTATATTTTCTCCTAGGATTTTTATAGGAGTCTAAAATTTAAGACTTTAATCCATTTTGAATTTATTCTTGTGTATGGTGTAAGAAAGTGGTCTAGTTTAATTTTTCTGTATGTATCTGTTCAGTTTTCCCAGCACCATTTATTGAGTAGGCAATCTTTTCCCCACTGTATGTTCTTGCCCCTTTTGTCAAATACTAATTTACTATATGGGTGTGGGTCATTTCTGGGCTCTCTATTCTATTCCATTGATTTATATGTCTGTTTTTATGCCAGTATCATGCTTCTGATTACTATAGCCTTATAGTTTGATTTCAGGTAGTGTGATTCCTCCAACTTTGTTCTTCTTTCTCAAGACTGCTGTGGCCATTCAGGGTCCTTTATGGTTCCATATAAATTTTTACAATATTTGTTCTTGTTCTATGAAATCTGCAATTGGTATCTTGATAGAAATTGTGTGGAATCTACAGATTACTTTTGGCATTATGCACATTTTAATGATGCTAATTTTTCCCCTATCCATGAACATGGTATATGATTCCACTTATTTGTATCATCTTCATTTTCTTTCTTCAGTGTCTTATACTTTTCCAAGTCATTTACATGCTTGAAAAATGATTGATTTTACTGGTCATTTACATCCTTGGTTAAATTTATTCCTCAGTATTTTGTTTTATTTTTTAATATAAATGGAATTATTTTCTTAATTTCCCTGATACTTTATTATTGATGTATAAAAATGCAACTGATTTCTGGATATTTATTCTGTATCCTGCTACTTTACTGAATTCATCTATCAGTTCTAGTAGTTTTTCGGGGGGAATCTTTAGGGTTCTCTATAAACAGAAGCATGTCATCTGCAAATAATGACAGTTTAACTTCTTCCTTTTCCCAATTTGCATGCCTGGTCTGATTGCTGGGGGAGCGGGCCAGCTCTTTTCGCATCTCCGCTCTTCCTACCAGTCTTAGTGTGGCTCCTTCTGTACATCCTTGGTGATGAGACTTCTCTTCAGCTATCCTCCAGCTGGTTATTCAGACTGTTTGCCCCATATTTTAGTTATAATTCCAGTTTGGTCCTAGGAGGAGGTGAGTGTAACATCCATCTACTGTGCCGCCATCTTGGATCCACATTTTCTAAAGTCTGTAGCTCCCTCTCTCCACCCCAAGTCAGTTTTCTACTTAAGCAATGATCTAGTAAAGGAAAGAAGCAGTTTCATGCTTCACTGAAATTGGAAATGAGTGTCCAGGTGTGTGTTCTCTCTCACTCACTCCTTCCCTGTCAAAGAACCAGAGAAGCCACAAGCTGACGAGATCAGAGCTGCCTGGGCAAGGCCCCTGCTCCTGGACAGGAAGGCACAGGGGTTGGGCCTGGCCTTGCTGCTCCGGCCCCCAAGCTCCAGGCACCACGGGCCCCTGGGCTCTGGGGTCAAGAGGCTGGCCCTCAGTGTGGGGTGATGCGTGCAACCAGCATCAGGGTGAGGGCAGGACACCATGATCCCCACCCCACCACCAGCCCTGGGGCACCTCTTGTTTCCTCTGCACATCAGTCTTTCCTTCTGTAAAGTGAAGTCCCTGTCCTGCTCAGGATTCTGAGTGTTGCTTGCTCACTGGCAATTATTTACAGGGCACAACCTCTGAGCCTAGCCCTGGGACCAGTGTCACAGAAACTAGAGGCTGCACTGGCCTGGCCTGTGGGATGCAGCCCACACAGAGCTGAATCGCCCCAGGTGAATTCCGGACCTTGCAGTGTGCTTCCCCAAATCTTGCCAGCACTGCTAAATCCTCATCCTGCCTGGGCATGAGGGGGGCCTTTGGCCTGTGCACCTACTGGGGGACCACTTGGGAGGACCCCCAGTCGGGACTCTGACGCTGAGGCTCTGTTCAGTTCCACTCATGAGCACTCACATTACTGAGGACCCTGCCTGCTCTGGGTACCTGAGCACCTCACTGTACCTGCCCCGCAGCTGACCCTGAGCCCAGCCAGGGAGCGAAGCCATTTCTGAGCTTGACCTGAATTCGGCCGTGAATGTTTGAAGGGCTTGGGCACCGTCTGTGGTGCCAAACTCCTCTTGGATTCTATTTATAGGCAGCCCTGGGCAGCCACGCCAGCTCTCTGCCTTATTAACCACAGGTATGTAACCGGGGTGTCGTCAGTACCTGCTCCTGGGGGAGAGGGCTCCATGGACACTTGCAGGACCCGGCCCCTGGCTGGCCAGAGTGGACAGCCTCTGCCTTTCCTGCATGGTCATATGTGGACATACATACCCTCTGAGCCCATCAGGCAGAGGCCTCCCTGGGTTTCTGGCCCGTACAGCATTCTCCCTCCACCCTGGTCCCCCTTGGAGGTGGTCCCAGGTCCACATGTGAGGCAGCTGGCACTGGGTCTGTGGGGTATGAGCTGGACCCCGGCTCCCTCTGGGGTGCTGCTGACAGGGCTGCCCTGTCAGGGATCTAGGTGGGGACTCCTTCTGGATGGGGATCAAGACGAAGACAGAAAGCAGGGTCCACCCATACAGAACAGCTGTATCTGCCCTGCAGTTGAGGGCATGAGGCGATCTTTCCAAGGCCAACACTGCTCGGTCAGCTCGGAGCCCTGGAGCTGACCCATGTCTTGCTCAGCACCTAGATGCCTTCCGGCTGATGCAAACTTCCCACACAG